ACCCGCATCACAAGACCACCATGCAGCGTCACAAGACCACCATGCAGCGTCACAGGACCACCATGCAGCATCACAGGACCACCATGCAGCATCACAGGACCACCATGCAGCATCACAAGACCGCCACCCGCATCACAAGACCACCATGCAGCATCACAAGACCGCCATGCCGCGTCACAAGACCACCATGCCGCATCGCAAGACCACCATGCAGCGTCACAAGACCACCATGCAGCGTCACAGGACCACCATGCAGCATCACAGGACCACCATGCAGCGTCACAGGACCACCATGCAGCATCACAGGACCACCATGCAGCATCACAAGACCACCATGCAGCGTCGCAGGACCACCATGCAGCGTCACAGGACCACCATGCAGCGTCGCAAGACCACCATGCAGCGTCACAAGACCACCATGCAGCGTCGCAAGACCACCATGCAGCGTCACAGGACCACCATGCAGCGTCGCAAGACCACCATGCAGCGTCACAGGACCACCATGCAGCGTCACAGGACCACCATGCCGCATCGCAAGACCACCATGCAGCGTCACAGGACCACCATGCAGCATCACAAGACCACCATGCAGCGTCACAAGACCACCATGCAGCGTCACAGGACCACCATGCAGCGTCACAGGACCACCATGTAGCGTCACAAGACCACCATGCAGCGTCGCAAGACCACCATGCAGCATCACAAGACCACCATGCAGCGTCGCAAGACCACCATGCAGCGTCGCAAGACCACCATGCAGCGTCACAGGACCACCATGCAGTGTCACAAGACCACCATGCAGCGTCACAAGACCACCATGCAGCGTCGCAAGACCACCATGCAGCGTCACAGGACCACCATGCAGCGCCCGGCTCCGTGCTTTCTGCTCCCAGAATGCACATTTTAGTCGAGCTAAGAAGTAAATCAAGAAATGGCTAATGATGGATGGGGACGGTGCTAGGAGGAAACACGGGGCTGCAGACATCATCTGCCTGGGGTGGGGGGTGCCGAGACGGGGGAAAGCCACCTGGAAGCAGCCCAAGGTCCTCCTGGCAGAGCTGCTGAGCTGGGGGCACCCCAGGAGGAGGCGGGCGTGGTTAGGGGCAGGAGTCTTGCGCCTCACGGGGGAATCCAGCTCGGATTGAGAGCAGTTTGAGGCCAGGATCACTCTGAGTAGGGGCTTTATTACCAGAATCACCGTGAGATTGGGAAACCCAAACGCTCCTCACCGGCTCAATGGACGGACGGTGGCACGTCCACTTCAAGCCCAGCTCCGGGCAAGAAGAGCAGACAAGTGCCTGCAACTCGTGGCCACGTGGGTGCACTGCAGCGCAGGAGGCTGAGCGAAAAAGCCAGACTCTGCATTTGCCAGCGGTGGCTGCGTGACAGTTACCTCTGAACTCAGCGAGCGTCAGCCGGTGCCAGCCCACCACTCCTGACAGGAAAACCGGAAATATCTGCGAGTGGCACAACCACCCCCTCGAGAAGTTGCAACGATGTCGCTGTCTCACTCCCGATGGAAGGTTCTGCCAGCGCTCCCAAATGGGCCTCACGCGGGCAGCAGAGCAAAGGGGTGGAGACCGGGCCAGGCCATGCCCAGCAGTCACCGGCCGCGGCGCTGGGCGCCAGAGGCCCGGCCTTTCGGGGGCAGGAATGTCTCAGAGGTGGCAACGCTGAGATCTGTGGGACGTGGCACCCGCAGCAGCGGGCACACGGCCACGGAGCCCGGTGCTGCTCCCCACCCCCCTCCCCCCATGTTCAGATCCCGATTCCCTCGCGAGTCTGCAGACGTGTGTCTGGGTCGCTGCCTCGCAGGCCCTGCCCGGAGCTGTCAGCGCACACGGCTGCTCAGGAGCCTCTGCGGCCCCGGGCGGAGCCGGGGCCCCGCACGCCCATGTCTGCACCAGGCCATTTGGGCACCACCTGCCCCAGCCGCTGGCCACCCGCGCTGCGGCATCTTCTCCTTGAGAGGAGCTCACTTTTGAAAAACTAAAGCTTAAATATGTTTATTTTAAAAGTAAACCATTTAACGGTAAGTGGGGAAAACCAGCGACACTAAGTCAGCGAGAGGCTAAACGGACAATAAATACATGAAAGCAAAAGGGAGCTGGCAAGGGCAGCCGAGGCTTGGGCTTCTGCCTTTTTTTTTTTTTATAATAAAAAGGACCAGGTCTGCTCCATTTTTAAAATGCTTGAAAGGAGGCGCTAAAGGCCTATTAGCCTCAAGCGGAGCGCCTTCTCCTGGCTTTCTCTGAAGGCTTAGAAGATCACTGAAAAGGGAGTAACTCTGCCCTCGGAGAGGGAGCACTGCCCGCCACATCCCTCGCTAGCCAGCACCTTCCCCTTTACTCGGCGGTTCCCTTCCGTGGGCGGGACATTTACTCAGATCGGCCTCCTGCTAACCAGCCGGTTCTGGTTTCATCCCTTCCCCTGACTGGACAACCTTTATGACCCCTCCGGGGACAAGGTCAAGCCCTGAGGATGGGTAAGGAGTGAGGGAAGGAGAGCAGGTGCCGCCACTGCGCCCCCTTCACGAGCCCCAAGCGTAAAGGGGGAAGGGAGCCCCGAAGTGGGGGCGCAGGGAGGGCCTGTGCTCACGTGCTGCTTTGAGATGGTCTTGGGAGGCCTTTTATACCCCGAGAAGGTTTAAGGCTGAAGGGAGTAGTTCCTGCAAAGTGAGGAGCTTTGCCCTGCGCTGAGTTACTCTTTCCTGCTGAACTAAATAAAACTCATCCGAACTAACACTCAAAATGTGGAGAACTACTTTTTTTTTTTTTTAATGGAAAGACAAGGGTTTAGGGTCCAACAATTTTCCATGAGAAATTAGGGTTGAGGCCTCCCTGGTGGCGCAAGGGGTTAAGCACCGTACTAGGACGCTGCCCGCAGCCTCTGCAGCACGAGTTCGAGCCCCAGCCGGCCAGGGAGCTACCCACACGGCGCGGCAGACCTCTCCTGTCTCGCCCGCTGCTCCCCTCAGCAGTGTACTTCGGTCCTTCTGCCTGCTCTGCTCCCCACTCTGTCTCTGGTGAATCCTCTCACCCCCCACATCTCTGGCCTGCACCCCAGCTCTTGTGTACATAAATAAATAAATTAAAAAAAAAAAAAGGAAGCATTGGGCAATGCCCAAAATCGTGGAGCCTCATCAGGCTTGAGGGGCCACGTCAGGACTGGCCCGCCCATGTTCACTACAGCCAGAAGTGGCAACGACACGAGTGACCAGTGGGTGAGTGGACAGAGTGAGTGGACAGAGAGCAGCCTGTGCCCGTGACAGAATATTACTCAGCCACAGAAAGGAACGAAGCAGCAACCTACGCACCAGCACGGACGACCGCGGCCAACATCCTCCGTGAAAGACGACACAAAAGGGCACGCGCTGTGTGGCCCCCTCAGTGTGAAATGTCCGGAACAGGCAGGTTCACAGAAAGCACATTCGTGGGCTCCAGGGATGGGGCGGGGGTGGTGGAATTGAGGGGTGAAGGCTGAAGGGCATGAGTTTTCCTTCTGAGGTGGTGAAGGCATTCTAACATCCCTCTGTGGGGACTGAAAAACGCTGAATATGTTGAAACCACTGAAGGTTGTATCTAGCGGGTGCATGACGTGGCATGTGAAGGAGATTGCAAGGAAGCAGCCCCTCCCCAGCCCCTATATAAGCTCTGGAGAAGCACCACGTCCAGGCGAGCCCAAAGCTGAGGTGGCCGGGCACAGTGTGGCAGCAGCCACGCCTGCCCAGCTCCAGGGTTTTGGGCGTTGCCCCATGCCAAGGAGGGTCTGCCCTAATTCCTTTTTTATTTTTTTAAAGATTTATTTATTTATGCATACAAGGGACACTGGGCCCCCCAGCGAGCGCCCTCCTGGCTGCCCATGGGAATCACCTGGGGAACTGCAGAAACCGCCCAGGCCGGCCTCACCTGGCTGCTCGCCCAGGCGGTGACTGGCCTCCACCAGCCCCAGGTGAGTCCACGAGGGAAAATTCAAAAACAGTGAGGCTGCCTCAGCGAGAGGGGTGCGGGTGGCCGCCCTGCCCAGGTAACTCCTTCCCCAAGCACACCCTTTGCTTTACGTCCTTTCAAAACCCGTCGGCTGCAGAGAAACCACATGGCGGGTGGCATCGGTCATTGGGGAAACAAAGGGAAACCTGGGTGCAGATCCCCCCACTCCCACTAGCACAGGCAGCCCTGTGGGCCGCGTGGAGACCCCGGCCGCGCAGCCCAGGGGTGGAAACCACGGGCCGCGGAGGCAGGCGGGGTGGGGTTCCCCAGCGAGCCCCATGCAGATGCCGTAGGGCCCGCGTCTCCCCTCCAGGGCTCACCTGGGCGAGCCCAGACCCCAGGCGACCCCAGGGCGCAGCCGCCCGCGGCCGGGTGAGCAAAGGCAGGCGCAAAGGAATATTCCTCACTCGTAAAAAGAGACACACGCACGTGCCTCCACCTGGAAAAGCCTCGAGGGCCACTCCGGGGCGAGAGTCACTGACCGACATGGGCTTGGAGACGCGCAGAAGCGGGAGACGGCGCAGGGGGCAGGAGTGTCCCTCTGGGGCGCAGCCCGGCCGAGCTGCAGGGGGCCCAGGAGTTCACCAGCGCTGAGTTACACACTTAGAAATTGATGAAATGGGCCTCCCTGGTGGCGCAAGGGTTAAGATGCAGCCTATGAAGCCGCCCACGGCCTCTGCAGCACAAGTTCAGTCCCCGGCCAGGGAGCTACCCACACGGCGCGGCAGACCTCTCCTGTCTCCCCGCTGCTCCCCCCAGCAGTGGATTTCAGTAGATCCGCCTGTTCTGTTCCCCACCCTGTCTCTGGTGAATCCTCTCACACCCCGACCTCTGGCCTGCACCCCAGCTCTTGCATGCACAAATACATCTTTAAAAAAGAATAAAAATACAAAGGGACGGGATGCTGTCTTACCCCCCTTGAAAAACAAAAGCTTAAGAACTGAAAACCAGCAAACGCCGGCCCCAGCCCCAGGCGCCACAGACCCAGGGGGTCCCGCGGGCGCCCCGGGGTCAGCGCTGCTCCTGGGGTCGGGGCTCCCTCGCCCGCACCTCCGGGGCCCTCGGCAGCAGCTCGTTCCGGGCGGGGCCGGCGCGGGCAGGACCAGGCCCCGCCGTGGTCCGCAGCTCGGGCCGGCGCCTCCTTGTGACCGCGCGAACCCCAAACCACCCCCCGGGGCGCCCGTCGAGCGCCTGTTGCGCGAATCTGGAAGCGGGCGCCGCGGTTACCCCGAATGCAGCCCCGTGGCGGGCGGGAGCGCGGCCCAGCCCCTCCTGCTCTGGCTCTGGGGCGCCGGGCGCCCGCGACGGCCGCCCGCGGGGGGCACCTCCAGGCCCCGCCGCGCCGTCCAGCGCCCGGGCGCCCCCCGACCTGCCCAGCTGCCTGTGGGTGCGGCCGCCCGGGGGGGCCCCTCAGGGGCAGGGGAGCGGACCCGAGCCCGGGCCAGCCCCTCCCGCGGCCTCCGAGCAGGGGTCGGCGCCCGCCCGGCACCCCGGGGGCCCAGAGCCTGGGGCTCGCGCCGCGTCCCGTGACCGAGCCCCCCGCCGCCCGCCGCCCGCCCCGGGGCGCCTACCGCGGTCACGTCGTGCGGGCGAGGAGGACGCGCTGCGGCCGGCACCCCCGGCTGCCCCGCTGCCCAGCGGCCGCCGCCCCCCCGGGGAGGGGAGGGGGCGGGGGGCGAGGCCGCCGCTGGAGGCCCGCGGGGCCCGGACGGACGGCCCAGGGGCCGCACCTGCGCCTCGTTCCCCAGAGCGGCTGCACCTGCCCGGCCTCTCCGGCCTCTCCCGCCCCCGGGCGACGCCCCCGCGGAGACCAGCCCGCCCGAGAAGGGGTCTGCTCGGCAGGGGGGCGGGGAGCCGAGCATTTGGGGGGCTGTGGGGACAGGGGCGTCGAGGGTCCAAGCGCAGCCGGAGACCTGGACGCCGGGATGGGGGGTCAGTGCCTGCCCAGCAGACCAGCGCGGCGGGGAAGGTGCAAACCCCACAGCGCGGGGCCTGGCGGAGAGCAGCCAGGTTGGGGGGCGCACCCTCCCCAGGCCCGCAGGGCACCCGGGGCACCGGGACGCACGCTGGGGACAGCCGGGCGCACCTCCAGAAAGCGCTGAGCTTAAGAAAGTGGGGTGTTGTAAGTCCCTGACCCCCGGAGTTGACCTGGGGGTCTGACTCCTTGTCACCCCCGGGAAGGGCAGGGAGCCCCGCAGCTGAGGCTGAGGGGGGCCACCAGGCGGGCGGGCAGAGGGCACAGCGGTAAAGTGGGGCCTGACGGCAGCCCCGTGGAGCTGCACAAACACAGCCGGTCCTGGCATGAGGTCATTGCGCTCAAGGTCATTTCATTCACACGCCCACGAGGCCCGCGGAGCCCAGCCCGCACGGGACAGGAGGGCCGGGCCCGGCCCTTCCACAGCGTCCACCCAGGCGCACTCTCCCGGGGTGGCTGGCGGGGTGTCGGGCAGGTGGGGGATGCCAGAGGCCTCAGGAGGGGGTTTCCATGTGGGGTGCGCCCTTGACTCATTGTGTGACTCTGCTGGCGGCTGGACAGCTCCCTGACCTCAGTTTCCGCCTCAAAAAATGGGGCCAGGAAGGAGGGTCCCCATGACCCCTTATGATCCAGAAACCCAGCAGGGGCTTGTGAAGAGCTTTTCTAATTTCGAAAACAGTAGGTAGCCCCTGCTGCCCACCCAAGTTGTGGGAAGAAAGAGCAGATCGCCTCCAGGTAAGCGTGTTCCGTCCACACTCCGATTCTGCTCTGAGATCACCTCCCCTGCCTTAGTCATCCCCCCAGTTATGAATTCTCTAGTCCGAATGTCTGGGCTATTTAGGTGTTTGCGAGTTCTGTTTCTAGGAATCAAAGCATGCTTTTGACTTTAAGCCTAAAAGGTTTAACTATCTGGTTTTTGTGTTTTTTTTTTTTTAAAGAAAAATGACAGATCTCAGCCCTTAGAAAATCAGCTCACTTGGAGACCTCCGTGGCATTATTGCCTTCTTTAATATTGCTGACAGCCTCTTGCAAATGTATCACAAGTTGGCATTTATTAGTGCGAGGCACAAGTAAGGGGCATGTTATTTGATTTGAATAACAGCTCGGAGCTACAGTTTGAGTCCAGAAATATATTAGTCAGAAACAATCTCATTTAATAACACAGAAACTAATAAAAGAAAAGTATTCCAACTGATTCAGAATTGAATTTATGAATATTGCTTTAGCAGGATTAATGATCAAAACCCCAACCTGTTTGTCACGTTATAACTGACTTTTCCATTTAAATGCAAAACCAGAAGTCAATGATTCCAAAGGATTGTATATTGCTTTGAAGAAAACCAGTTCATTTTACATGTAAGCTTCCAAATTGGCAATAAACTTTAATTACAGGGTCAGATAATCAAATTATAATCAAATAGCCTCACATAAAAATCTATGTTTGAAATTAATGAGACACAAGCCTGCCACTTGGTATCACTGTGCCTCTGTAACTCACTAACAGACATTTCATTTTCATTTAAAAGTCACCTTAAGGACTGTCTCCTCAATTTCCACTGTGTAACTTAATTTGATTTAGAAAACATTTCATTCTTAGACCATACACTCCTTTGGATTTTCATATTCATCTCAACATTCTCCTGCCTCCCCTCACCACGGGGGAGGTCTGTTTTATAATTGACGATGGGATTGCCAAGTTGGCACTACTATAAACCTTTCCGACTGTGAGGTGAGTACCTGTCTATGTCGGGAAGAAGCTTCGACCTGGTGGTTTGGTGTCGGGGGTTATTCGACAAAGGCAGCATCCACGCCATGGGGCTGAGCAGTCAGGGAAATTCTGGGGAAGAAAAAGCACATGGCTTAGAGATACCTCCGTTATTTTTCAATCAACAAACTCATTGCCAAGGGAATGGCGGTGACACTTAACCTGCTTCGTGGCCTCATAGGTGTGAACGGGCAGAAGGCTAAGTTGTACCTTAAAATCTTTGTATTTTATGTTTAAAAAGCCGTTTCCTTGTCTTCTTCAATAATACTAGCTTTATTTTGTCAGAACGATGAAGCTGCTGGGGCTTTCTCTACCCGGCAGCTGGTGAGCTGGGACCAAGAAGAGACAGATGAGCTGAAAAGCTCAAAGACAGAAACGTAACAAGCGCACGCCTCGATCACTGACATGCCTTCTTCTCTAAAAATGAGACTTTTCTTGAGTTTTCCATATTCTGAAAAGACATAGGGTGCATAGCAGCTGGCGGGGTTGCAAATAAAAACAAATATTTTTAGTGTAAGTATATCCCAAACATCACAGGAGATATACTTATGCTGAAAAAAAGATCATTCCCTGTTTCTCTGAATCTGAAATTTAACTGAATAGCCGGTATTTTTATTTGCTAAGGCCGGCGACTCAAGTCTGCAATAATAACGATAATAACATACCTTGGCGTGTTCAGAGTTTGGTGTCTTCTGAGACCTGGACAGACTCCCCCAAGCACAAGAATCAGCAGGGAGCTTTTCGAATCTACAGAGGTCTGGGCCCAGCCTGGAACTGCCGATTAGGTAAGGCCAAGCCTGCGAGCTTGTATTTTGACAAGTGTTCCAGGTGACTTTTGGCATCAGATAAGTTTGGAAAACACTGCAAATCTCTCTCCCCTCTACATGCCTGAGAAGCAGGTGGTGACAGAGCCAAAGCAACACTGTTAACCTTCACTATCACCTCCGCAGATCTTGGTCCAGGGAGTTTGGGGAGTACAGCGCTGTATTCAGAGCCTTGGGCTGATGGAAATGCCTGCCTCAAACTATTTTATTCCCTAGTTGCATAAAGTAAAAAGTGATTTTGCTTAGAGGACAGGTAGATGGGATCCGACCATGTCAGCTCTTGGTGCAGTGATGACCGTTCATCTGGTGAGCTCCAGCACCCGACTATGAGCTGCTAAAGTGTGGGGTGTGCATCACCTGTGTCAGGGGTTTTCATCTGTGATAAGGATTTTCTCTCTGCTTCAGCCCCACCCCCTCGCCCTGGCCCCACCCTCCATGGCTTTACCACTGGAAGAGAGAGATGAACTGAAAATCTTTTTATATTTTCCCCTTTCAGGTGTCTTTACCCACACCCCCCCCCCAAATAGAATCACCCCCTGGTAAACACGCAGTGACGACAGCAGTCGGAGGGGCCCCGCTCGCACCATGCCCGTGACGGGGGGCAACCCTGCGCCTGCCCTCCACCCAGGTCACACGCGTCCAACTGTGCCCATCCCGGCTAGTCTGCGCCAGCTTCCCTTTTATTTGGCACCTCCTAAGGGCAAATGATCAAATTGCACTTTCTTCTTTTCACCTGAAGCTTGTTCCTTCTGGCCCGCTCTTCTCAAAATTAACCCCTAAATGATTTCCGCTGTGCGATCCTGCTCTTGGAAGAGCTACTCCGCACTCTCCTCCATGCGACCTGGGCCCACCGAGGAGCAGGATGCAGAAACTGTCCATTCTAAAGAAAGAAGACCTCCACGCTCTGGTGAGGCCAGCGTTCTGTCCTCAGGCCAGAGCTCGCATTTCAGGGGAACCAGGGTTTGCCCCCAGAGCGAGTGAGCACCCCAGTAGTGGCAGCACCCAGGGTGGGCCCCTCCGTGTCCGCCACGGAGCTGGTGTCCAAGTTCGCCCCGTGACACCCCCCACCCCGCTCAGAAGGCATCCACGTGCTTGCACAAAATTGCCTCTCACGCTGTGGGGAGGCCTCTCGCAGGGCCGGCTCAACCTTACAAGACTCAGGACAAGGGAAAGCACCCGTGGGGACAGAGGGTGGGCAAGGTGTGGGAGGAGGAGGAGCAACTGGGGTGCGACGGCCCACGGCAAGTGTGGGGTCGGTGAGTGAAGTCGTCCTGTCTTCCCTAATCTGCGGGGCCCCACCAGGCCCAAAACATGAACACTCCAGAACAGTCCTGCCGCCTGTTTTCCCAGAGGCGCGCTGAGCGAGGACCCCGACGGGGTGTGGATTTGCCAAAAAATGCCCTGAATCGCGTCGCCCCCTCCAGCTGCCCGCAGGGCGCCCTCACCACCGCATCGGCCTTTCTGCAGCGGCCGGGCTCAGGTCCTGGGGTTGGACTTTGGTTCAGAGGAGATGACGTTTGTAAAGGCAGGACATGGGCACAGTGCAGGTTTTCTGATCCCATGCAGACCGGGTAAAGGAGGAGTCAGAGTCCTCAGTAGTTTTGCAGGTTTTTTATTTGGGGTTCACCAGGCATATGGCAGGCAGGGGTGCTGGCTGGGGGGCTGGGAGGCTGGCAGGCCTCCCAGCCCCCAGCAAGTCTTCACTCTATCTGAGCTCTCTGGAGTTCGTTCTGCTGCTTCTCGGCTTCCGCTTCGGCTTCTACCGCTGCTGCTGCTGCTGCTACTGCTGGCGTCCCCCCCGTGACGCCGCCCTTAAAAGCACAGTCTAAGCTCAGCTGAATCCCATCTACCTAGGCCCACACCCTACTCCAGGTGCCCGCCATCAGGCATGCATTCAGGACAAGGATCCATCATCTATCCTGATGGCGGAAGGGCAGAAAAGCCTGACATTTTCTTTACCCTACAACGTTGTAGGAGGTCGGAGACTTGATCTGTTGTCTCAGAAGCCTCAGGGTACCTGCCCGCTTGGTCCAGAATTTCCAAAGCTTCTCCTGATGGAAAACGGGGCCATTGTGTGGCGTCCACGAATGCTGGTTTGGCCGTCGGAAGGGCTGCTCTGAGGCGACACCGTCACGTGGAGGAACAGGCAGTGACGGGGGTGTGTCTCCCGTGGGGGAGAGAAAACAGCCCCGTTTTTGTGAAGACAAAACGAGGGCAGGGCCCCTTAAACCGCCACAGTGGTCCTGGCTGACAGGATTTTGAATGTCTTGGATTTAAAAAATTTCCTTGTCTTTTTTCCTAAGGTTTTTGCACAAAACAAATAGTGATTTTCACATTACTTTTTTTTTTTTTAATTAAGAAAAGTCTACTACTACTCCCGAGACAAAAACCAGACCAGGACAAAAATCTTTCGGCTGCTGAGGGAACAGCCTTCCTGGTTCCGACTTGTTGTGACACGGTGGCTGCCAGCCGGGACCGCTGGGTCCACCGGTGACCTTGGTCTTTCTCCTCTTTCCTGCCCCCTGTGGGAAGGTTCCAGCCGCAAGGGGAGGAAGCAGAAGTTCTCTCTGACGCGTCCACTACGGGGTAGAGCGAGACCCGACCTCCTGCGCTCAGGACAGAATCGGAAGGTGCGAGCGGAAGGCTTGTCGGATGTCGGACAACATGACCTTGCTGTTTTGAAGGGCTTTTTGTTTAGTTGTTAGGACTTAAAAAAAAGTAGGGAAAAAAGCCCATTTTTAACTCAACTCATAACAAATGGTGTTAAATAGAAAACACCAAAACGATTTTGGCTGCAAGGGTTCTAGAATGTTCTGAGCAGCTGCTGATGGAGACGCAGTCTGGAAAAAAGAGCTTCCCGAGCAGTCCCAAGGGAGCGTGGCGTGAGGGCGCAGGTAGGGGCGGGCGCCTATTAGTGTTGATTGCAATGAGCCCGAGACGCTGGAGCCGGGAGGCCTCGGCCACGAAGATCCGTCCTCAGGCTGTAGATGGAGCCATAACATTACTAAATATTCCGGCGGGAGCGGTGGGGGTTTGGCGCTGTAAAAACCAGATGTTTGCAAGTTTTTCAGCTTTCGATTCTGAGTGTGAACAACCAGAAATCGCAAACCTTCTTATTTTCTCCAGAGCTGGCTGGGTTGGGCGAGGCCAAGATGTGGGCCGGGTGGATCCGCTTTCCTTCTCCTGGCAATTATCACCTGCCGGGCCTCCTCCTCTGGCTCTCGCTGCTGGAGGCACCCCGGGGTCCTCCCACCTGGCTGCTGAACTCCTTTAGACAATCAGGCCCGTCCCACTTCTCACAAGCTCTTGCCTTTCTTTTCCAAAGAGCCGGACTGAGCCCTGCGACCAGCCCGGGCCTCTGGGCCAGCGGGCAGCTCAGGGTGGGCGTCACACCCCCGTGGGGGCCTCTTGAGCTGGGGCCACGGCAAGGCCTCAGCCTAACTCCTCTGATGCCCCAGATGGTCCAGCTTCCAAAAGCTGCCCGGCCAGGCTGAAGGCTCCCGTGTGTGTCTAACTCCTGCCGTCCTCTCTCGCGCCTTTCCTTCTCCTTGGCTCTCCGCTTTGTCCCCCCTTCTCTGTCTCTCTCCCCACAGGGCTCCTTAAAGCTGCAGCCGGAGACAACCCCACTTGCCGTGCACCCCGCGGCATCCGCGGTCTCCCCTGCAGGGCTGTCATGCGGGCAAGTCCAGCTTCCCCCACAGGTCTGGGCCCAGCCCTCCCTTCTGCCCGCTGCCCAGGGCCACGGTGAGGCAGACCTGGGAGATGAGGTCGGGCCAGGCTACCCGGGGCTGGCGCCCCCTGGAGGAGTCCCTGAAACTACTCACCGCCCAGGCCTCGGCCCCACGCTCCTCTTCTTCCGGGAAGCCTTCCGTGCCTGGCTCCAGGGCCTTTCTCTCCCGGGCCTTCACGGTGGCACATGCCACGTTCACACTTGCTTCTGGCTCTGGTGAACTTTGGGAGGCTTTCCTGCGTCTCCTCACACACAGCGGCCGTTCCCTGCCCCGAGCATCTCCCCAGGTTCCCTGTCACGAGAGAGGAGGTAGAAGCACCAGACAACAAGCCACCGAGGTGGCCCCTGAGCCCCGGCCGGGGCACCACGAGGCAGGGGGCAGGTCTTCACACCCCCCAGGCAGGTGGGCGCAGGGCAGGGAGAGCTGAGGAGGTGGGCGTGAAGGCGCTGGCTGGTCTTGAGAAGGGGCCCGGGCAGCGGGCTGGGAACTGTCAGGCCTGAGAACAGAGGGCGCTGGGAGCCCGGTTCCTGGGTGGAGTTGGGCGAGAGGACCAGAGTCCGGAGGGGAGCCCAGCGGCAGGGGCGTCTGGGCAGAAGAGGCCTGTGAGGGCTCCGCAGAGCTCCCGGCCTCCCAGCCTGGCACAGGAGGGGCTGCGGGACACAGGGTCGGGCCTGGCTGCAGAGTCGTCAGTGGCCCTTGGGCTACACCTTCTCCTTGGCCCGACCTCCCGCTGCCGGCCCCAGGGGTCCTCTGGCTGCTCTGCTCGTGCGCACGACAGGCCAAGGGCCAGGAAACACAGCCCTGACCTCAGGGCCGCTGCCCCGGCCCTCCCCGCTGCGCCGAGTCCTGGCCAGGTGAAGCGGCCCACCAGGTTGCGCGATAACACACTGTGCCTCAGTTTCCTTCCCTTCGCTACCCCCCTAACGGGTTTTAGGATCACCTCCAAATGAACGACCCTGTGGTCTGATTCTGGGGGAACCCCAAACTAATACAGACTCAAACAGTGTTTGTGGGAAGGACAACGGGTGCCACAGCAGGAGCCCCTGCCCGGGGTGGGCGTGGAGGGGTGCGCTCTCTCTGCTGATTTCATCACCGGGGGTGACCGGGCCGCGCACCCCTCTTTCTCAAAAGCCCATGTCTCATATACGCTCCTCGCCCCCAACACCTTAGGAAAGTCGGGGAGAGATGTCCTGCACGATGCCCATGACATGAAGCGGGTGGGTCTCGCCGCGGGACCTCCCCATGCAGGGCACTTCCCGTCAGGACAGCTCCTTGAGGGTGACGAGCCCACGAAGCAGGCCAGAAGCGCCGCGCAGGTCTGAGGGGGGAGACCGGCTGCATCTGCGATGGCTTCAGGCAGTCAGGTGTGGGTGGCGGTGAAATGGGGCAGGCAGGGACCTCTGGAGCCTGGTGACTCAGTTTCCCGACTCCTGGTGTCTCCTGGCAGATGCGGGCGGCCCTGGGGCCCTGGGGGGCCTGCGAGGACACAGCGGGCACCGTGAGCACGTCCATGGCGCCCTGCCCATTCGCTTCTGAGGCCGGCGGGGCCGGGGGCCCCTGAGGTTCCGCTGCAGGCTACACGCGGCCTCTTCCTCCTTCCCACTCCAGCGAGGGGAGCCTGGAGACCGGACTGAAATTTGCTTTTCCTTCCCAATCAAACTTCACTGACTCCACGGACTTGAAGCCACTTGTGGTGACAGCTGCCAACCAGACCTGCCCCTACGTCTCCTGGGGGCCGTGGGGGGCGGGTGGGTGAGGCGCTCACACGCTGATCTCCACGAAGCGGGCGAAAGCATCAGCAGCCCCTAGATGGAGGATGTGGGGGCCGGTTTCCCGCCCTCATGGCGGGGCCCTGCACAAGGTCCTTCCTGCGGGGTGGAAAGCCCTCGCGCTCCGGCTCCCCTGGCCAGCACAGAGACCCTGGCCGGGGAAGCAGCTAAGGGTGCTTCGGAGAAACTCCTCTCCCGGAGGGTCAGCCCAGACTGAGCACAGGCCGGGGGCCTGGACTCCAGTTCTCTGCTGTCATTTCCTCTCCAAGCTTTGCGCCCTCACAAGTGAAGAAGACACTGGACCCCTCAGGCAGCCTCTGAGGTTCTTCTTGGCTTCAGAACCCCGGGATTGGAAACAGGGAAGAGCAGCTGTCCGCAGCGGTCGTCTCGGAGGGGTTTCAGCAACTCATTTTCCAGCGCCACTTTTCTGTTTTTAATCGTTTTTGGATATTATGCAATAAAAGTGTATTCATTTTTGTAGTGTGATCTGTTCTCCTTTTTAAAAAAACTCCTCTCTATGGTGGTAAATGTCAGGCGTATGTAAAAGTAGAAGGAACGGGCTGTGAGCCCCCCAGGCCCATGACGCCACTTTACCTCGTTATCAACGCAGTTATTAGCTCACTGCCCTCGCATTTCATCTGGAGCCCCATCTACTCCCCCACCTTCAGATTCTTTTAAAGCAAATCCAAGATCTTACATAATTTCATTCAGTAACATACTTCTTCTGTAATTAGAAGTAAAAAAAATTAGCTGACTCATGCTTTAGGGGATTGGGAAGAAACGTGTTCTCTACCCATGAGAGCTAGCCTTTTTTTTTTTTTTAAATATATATATTTTTAAGATTTATTTTTATTTATTTATTTATACATGCACTGGGTACAGTCAGAAGTGCGGGAGGGTGAGAGAATTCACCAGAGCCAGAGCGGGGAGCAGAGCAGGCAGAAGGACCGAAGTACACTGCTGAGGGGAGCAGCGGGCGGCAGGAGAGGTCTGCACGCCATGCGGGACCCTCCTCCGGTGGCCGGGGAGCAGCCGGGGATCGAACTGGCGCCGCAGAGGCTGCGGGCAGCTTCGCAACCCAGCGCTCAACCGCTGCGCCACCGGGGAGGCCAGCTAACCATTTTTTTTTTAAGTCCAAAGGAAAGAATATCTAACAGTGGATTCTGGAGTGGTAGAATTTGGAGGCTGGGAATGGAGGAGCATGTGGCAGTCCTGGTAGGGAAATGGCTGTCCATTATCTTCCTCAGCCCTCCTTGAGTCTTCCGTGTCCAGTCCTGGTCAGCACTGAGAAAATTATTTTAAATGATCTCTCAGGAGTTCATCCGCCTCCCTCCTCTCATCAAACAAAAGAAGCTTTCGAATTCCTGTGGCTCCAGCATGTCATTCCCCTCATCAAGTTGTGCTTATTAAACGTCCACTTGGACTCACAGCCCGGCCTGCTGCCTACTGGGGCTTCGCTTTGATTTGATTTCAGGGGTGAGTTGTTTTCCTGCCTGGTTCATTTGGATTAGAAGCCCCATGACTTCAACCTGGCTTACGGTTTTCCTTTCCTTTCTTCAAAACAACAAGCGTGTTGGGGAGGGATTCTGGCGCGCAGTAGGTGGTCATTTTCAATTTCCACTCTGGACATATGGAGAGACTCACCTCCACCTACAGCTGACTCCCTGAGCCCGCCTGACCCCCGGCTGACACCACATCTTGAGAAAGACCCTGCGGGCAGCTGGCGTGAGTGGGCCCCGCCTTGTCCTGCACTGGCCGGAGCTGCAGCCAAAGCTCACGACACGCAGGACTCTGACGATCAGGGCTGTCGGAAACGTGCAGTCCTGGGGTGTCCCCCTTCTGGGGTGTCCATGGGGCTGGGGCTACCCAAACTCTGTAAACTGAGATGGGGCCTGAGTTTGGGGTGCGGGGGTGGGGTGGCACACGGCTTCTCTTTTTTGTTTTTTGTTTTATTGGTAGAGGAAGACCGAGCAGCGGGGGTTGCTCTCTCTGGAGGTGGTGTTTCCTTTTCTGCTACTGGAGTGAATGGAGAAAAGCCATAAAATGCTGTCGACCAGGCGCTTCTGTTTTCCTTGCAAATACAAACGTAAATTGCACCAGCACAGACGGTTTTAATGACTGAGTAAATGTTTGACCTTCAGTAAGTTTCCAGAATGGAGGTATTTTTTTTTTCATCATTAAAAAACATGTGCTTGCACATGACAAGTTAAGGGGTGCAGAAGCAAAGGCGAGATCATGGGGTCACAGGGAGGGGAGCTAGAAAATTCAGAGCCTGCCATCAAGACTCGTGAGCCTTTGGATATGGGGATGAGGACTCGCTGCACAAGCAGCCTTCAGTGGGGCGGATTTAAAGGAACGATTGTGTGTTGGAAGGAAATCCTAGACGTGCGGAAGGGATTTCTGCTTCCTGGCAAGGTAGGGTGAGGAGCTCTGAGAGCAGAGATAGAGGAGGAAGAAATGACTTAAGGCTCTTTTGGCGAGTGGAGACCGGAGGGTGGGGGAGGGAGAGAGGCGGAGGAAGGGCCGCTGCAAATTTAGCCGCAGGTAAGCCTGGGCTCTGAGGGAGTTCTCCCGGACGCCTGCGAAGACTCTGCTTTCTTGTCGATCGCTCTCGGTTGTGGCGGATGATATGGACAGCCTGACACTGGTGGGAGCCAGGGACCTCAGGTGGCCCAGATATATCTGGGTAATAGAAGTTGTGCCGGTGCACCCTCAGGAAGAAGAGAGCAGAAAAGTCAAGCGCCCCCTGGGAAACAAGGAAGATAGTTTTCCCCAAGAAAAGCACCGTGGTCTTTGGTTGGCAGACCAGACCCCTCTTTCCTTTTCGACAAGGAGTGGGGGGTGGCATGGTGGCCTCTCATCTGCTTCCCGGACCCGGGACCTGGATCCAGAGTATTCCCAGCAACATGTGGGGGACCAGCACTGCAGGAAGCATAGACCCACTGGAGCTGTTCCCCGGCCTGTGCTGAGAGCTGCGGGGATCCAGCCTGTTATGCTGAGCTGGTGCACCGTGCTGGCAGGGAGCAGAGCCATGGAGGACAAAGGCACATGTCAGCAGCCCTCCATCCCTCGTCCTGGGGACTTGGCAGGCCAGCCAGAGTTTCCTGGCGTTTGGTTCTGAAGTTGGTAGGCCAGCTGGCTCTGGAGAGTTTTGTAAAGCTTATGTCAGCCTGCGTCCTGGGGTCTTGTTTGCTGCCTGGGAGGTGATGGAGCTGGTTGGCTGAGGCCCAGCCGTTCCTTTGGGGGGGGCCCATGTAGAGGCTCTGGACTCTGATAGGATCTTTCAAGCCAGTAAAGGATGGGGGACAGGAAGGCAGGGCTGGGATGGAACATGGGGTGGGTCTAACAGCCAGAACTGGTCCCCAGAGCTCAAGCAAGTCTTCATCCTTTGAAGGAAAGAATTCTCACTGACCTGGAGCACTGACAGGGGTTGTTCCTTCCTTCCCTCCTACTGTGAAGTATTCTGCATGAACCTAGGCCCTCCCTGGGGGGCTCTTCCATATGGGGTGTGAGGCATGCTTTGAAAAGGCATTCTTGACCCAGTACACCCACAAAGCCTTCTTCTCTGGAAACAAAAAAATGCTCTAAAGCCCAAGTTTTATGCAAACACTTATGCAAGCAGTCTCCTGCCTCTTTGCATTACCGTCACCCGCCCACTCCACTCGGCCGGCCCAGGGGAGGAGCTTGGGGCTCCCCTCTGAAGCCAGGGAGACGTGTCAAGGGCTGCGTGTGCACACCTGATTCCCACTTCTTAGGCTGTAAGTGTCATTTACATTTGAAACCTCAAATGTCTCCTTTTTTGGAACAAAGAACTCTTTTCCCAGGGGCATCCCGCTCTCTTCTAGTGCAGCTGGGAATGAAAAGTGTAACCAGGAGTGAATTCGAGAACATTCTCAGCCCAAAGTCTCAGGCACACCCGGAGGGTCGGCTGCTCTGCCTGCCACATTCTCTACCCTGAAAAGTCAGCTCCCACCCCCAGGCCAGGAGGTGGAGAGTGGCTGATGCCATGGCGTGCTCACCGCGCACTGCGTGCACTTCTGTCCAGTGTGGAGTAGCCCACGGTTCTGGCTACTTGTGATTCTCATTCTGTAGAGGAGGGAAACTGAGGCCGGGAGAGATGATGAAACACGGGCGGGGCCATTATATGAGGGAGTAGGGTCTTCTTGCTTCTCTCCCACCAGCACAAACATGGGGACTTTCTGGGCTGCAGAAGTGGGAGCTAAGTGTCCTCCAGGGAGGAGGGTTGGGGTGTGGGCAGGGTAGAGGGCTGGGACACAAGCAACACCAGGGAAGAAGGACTGAACTGAACTGAGGCTTCCTTCCTGGGCGCCTCTTGGGGTTCTGGAATCAACACACATTCTTAGACTGTGCAGCATTGTGGGCCTGCGGGGTCGGGAATTACCTGGGTGCTACACACTCTTGCAAAATATCTTCGGAAAGTCTGGTCCACCATGGACAAATGTCTCTCCTCCAGCCTGTCAGTGCTGTCAAATGACAAAATTAAAACCAGTAATGAGTGTGCTTTTATTTATTCCATGGAAAGCAGCCCTTGGATTGGGGGCCACAGAGCCTCACAAGCAGTGGTGCTCCCTTCCCGCGGGCTGTGGGCAAGAATAAGCTTTACAGAGTTAGGAGAGAAAACGGGGGAACAGGACTTGATTTCCTCCTAAGGGAGTGAGTCCAGTTTTCTGTACTGGAGGGTAGACTGGTGAATGACAGGTTTCTTTGACAACGAGCCCTTTCTGGCCAGTGCGGGATGATTGAAGTGACTAGTTCAACAGGAGAAACTTGGGGGAATCTGAGTGACCAGGTTTGTGGGTCCTTACTTGTGTGCTTATGGCTGCGGGACATGGCCCAAAAGCAGACATAAGGTGTGAAACAGTAACAGGATTTATTTACCACACACGAACAGACAGAGACAGAGAGACAACACACACAGACACACACACAGAGAATGAATTTACAGCTGGCATGTGGCCAGGTGCCATCTGTCTGATCCCAGGTATGTCCGCTGAGCAGAGACTGAGGTCCAAACCGAAGCCATGTGGGGCAAGCTGGCTGGCGGCTTCTCCAGACACCCCTCCTCACCAGTGGTCTAGGCCACCAGCTTAACTGCCGAAGGTCCCAGCTCCTTCCCTACTTCCCATCAGCCCCTTGCTCAGGCTGGGGAGGGGGCGCCACCTTCTGCCGTCAGTAGCCCAGTGAGCAACACCCGCCGGCTTGGAGGTGTCTCCTCACTGTTCCTCTTACACTGTGACATGGGCCAGGCCACTGGACGGCCTCCGTTTTGCGGGTCCCTATGTACAAATTACCCTGGTCACTGCCCAGATTGGGACAAGCCCATATTCACACATCACTGCAGGCAGCGCGGCTGGGGCCTCCCTGGGCACAGATGGTGGGCACTGAGCCAAGGGGCCCACTGTCCCAGAGTGAAGGGGGGGTGGTGTTGATTTGATTTAGTCTCAATGGGAACTTTCTTTGAATCTCTTTCCCTGACTTCACTGCAGATTTCAAAACAACATTCTTTTATGAACAAGCACCAGGACATCAAATACTTCCACACCCTATGCTAGAAGTGCTTCAGGCCATGTTGTTCTTTTTCTTTTAAACAGTTCCATGTAAAATCAGATGTTAACTCTCTCTGAATAAACCCAAATGGAAAAGTTTTTTTTTTTTTTTTTGCTTTAATAATGCCAATGACAATCAGAACAGGTGGAAAGAATATGTGCCCCTTAACTGCAGAGCACAATAGTTTAGAAGGCATATACTAAGTTGTTACATATGCAACAAACAATTCTTATTTATTGATGGTGAGAAAAAGGAACAACAAAGCTTCCAGGGAAAGTGCAGCAGGAAATGTGTGAGCAGGAAGCATGATTTATTTCTCTGAATGGGGCCTATTTCGTTTAAAGGGAATTTTCTTTTGCATCTTGGCCAACAATAGCTCTACCCCACTTTTTAATTATCAAGGCTGATGTTGGGTCCATCATTTACTGCAGCTTTTCTGAACCTCTCTTCAGCCTGCAAACCACGAAATTCCCAGTATTTGCTGCGTCGATGGTGGGTATGTGCTCCTCAGGGTCCTGAAATCATAGAGCGCTTTGGTTTTGTGGTTGCTGCATTTGTTTATTGAATTTGTTTTAAAAACTTTTACTGGTTCACACAGCACACACTGCTGTACTGCCTGTTCTTTTCCCCACAATGGATTATTGTTTCAGAACCTGCCAATATTGGCAATAGCTCTCCTCGGGGCGAGGCTCTTGTTTAAATTCCTTTCCCTGTAAGGAGAGCTGAAGACAAAGAAGAGTCAGGATGTGGGAGTTAGGGGCTCTCGGGTGCATGTTCACGTGCCCCTCAGGCGCTGCCCACAACCATCCCGGGCGGGCGCTCGGCCGCTCACAGGCCGCCATCGAAGTTCAGGGCCCGTCCCACACCCGCGCCGCAGCCTCCAGCGGCAGCGAGAACGGCCGAGCTCTGCGGCGGTGACAGACGCCCAAGCGTGTCTCAGGAAGGGGTGTTCCTCATGTCCGTCATGTTCCACATCCCTCCTGCGCCTACTTATGCCGACAGCACATCTACTCTCCTGGGAGCCGTCAGCTGGTCTCCGTGTCAGGAGGGAAAAAATTCTACTTGGACAAACTGCCGTGCAAGTCATCACAGGAGACTGGTTTATCATGCGTGCCGGCTCCAGTCGCTCCTCACTGAGCCTGCGGCCATCTTGTCGGGTTGGCTCCCGCTTCCTCTGCTGAGGGAGCCCGCGGCCATCTTGTCAGGGTTGGCTACCTCATCCTCCGCTGAGGGAGCCCGCGGCCCCTTGGGGGAGGGGAGAACTCCCGCTTGCTTCGCTGAGGGAGCTGTGGCCATCTTGTCGTGGTTGGCTACCTCATCCTCTGCTGAGGGAGCCCGCGGCCATCTTGTCGGGTTGGCTCCTGCTTCCTCTGCTGAGGGAGCCTGCGGCCATCTTGTCGGGTTGGCTACCTCATCCTCCTCTGAGGGAGCCCGCGGCCATCTTGTCGGGGTCGGCTCCCGCTACCTCTGCTGAGGAAGCCCGTGGCCATCTTGTTGGGTTGGCTCCCGCTCTCTTCGCTGAGGGAGGCCGGGGCCATCTTGTCGGGGTTGGCTACCTCATCCTCTGCTGAGGGAGCCGTGGCCATTCTTGTCGGGTTGACGTCCCCGGCCTTCCCTGAGGGAGCCCGCGGCCTCTGCTGAGGAAGCCCATGGCCATCTTGTTGGGTTGGCTCCCGCTTCCTCCGCTGAGGGAGCCCGCGGCCCCTTGGGGGGTGGGGGTGACTCCCGCTTTCTTCGCTGAGGGAGCCCGTGGCCATCTTGTCGGTTTGGCTCCCGCTTCCTCCGCTGAGGGAGCCCGCGGCCATCTTCCATGTGCAGCTTCGTGCCTGGACTCTGCACCATGAACACTATCTGGGATAGGACAGATTGCATCAGCCTTGCACTGACTATAAATTCTCTTTCACTCTTGCTTTTGAGTTGTGCCCTGCAGTTGTAAGCGTGGCCGAGGACCCGCCAGCCAGGTCCTCTCTTTTCCCCCAGGTTTGCTTGGTTCATGCTCACCCTTACAGCATCATAAAGAATAGCTTCACTGCCCTAACAGTCTTCTGTACTCCACCTAGTCATCGTCCCCTTTGCCTAAAGCCCTGGCATCCACTGATGTTTTTCACTGTCTCCATGGTTTTGCCTTTTATAGAATGTCATATAGGTGGGAGCATACAATATGTAGCCTTTTCAGGTTTACTTCTTGGACTTAGTAATCTCTCTTTTTTTGTCTGTATCTTTTTGTCACTGATCCCAAGAGGGTTTGCTCTCTGGTGACTGGTGGCCAATTGGTACAACAACCAGGTTGAGTAAAGTAGGGCAAGAGCTTTACTGCTTAACTGAAGAAGGGGAACTCCTGTTCCAAAGCCCCTTCTTTGGGAAGTGGAGTGTACTTTCCAGCAAACAGAGGAGCAGAGTTTTCTTCAGGGTCCAGACTTGCAAGCCTTTTTGTTGTTGCTATTAAACGTTTGCGCCTCTCAGCTAGGCTGTGCAGATTCAAGCAGTTTTAGCTCGTTCTGCAGTTTGACCTTAAACAACAGCAGTTCCTACAAATGATTTCAGCTAGAACAAAACAGTAACTGGAAGAGCATGTACTCAGTGAAATGTTTAAGTGCTATGTGGAATCACATTTTGAGAGGGATAATATTTTCATGGCTTTTTTAAAAAGCACTGAATAATATTCCATTGTCTACATGTACCACAGTTTATCCATTCATCTGCTCATCTTCCAACTGTTGATTGCTATGAATACATCTGCTGTGAACTTCTATATGTAGGTTACTGTGTAGACCTAAGTTTTCAGCTCATTTGAGTAAATATAAAGGAACATGATATCTCAGTCATATGTATGTTTAATTTTGTCAGAAACTGACAAACTGTCTTCAAAGTGGTTGTGCCATTTTGTTAGGGGGAAAGGATGTCCTGAGATAATCTCATACAGGCTTTGTGGACTCCACCCCCACTCCAGACTAAAGCCATCAGGACATTGGGAAAGACAAATCCCATCACCACCAAGGGGAGGGTGGCTGGGACCTGAGGGTGGAGTTGGGCAGCCAGGTTGGATATAAAAACCAAACACGTGGGCCTTGCTCTCTCTCTGGCTCGCGATCGCTCGCCTCCTGGCTTCACAGCTCCTGGCTGGCGGCCAGCTCTCAGAGCGCCATTTTGGGATTCCTGATCGGCGGATCGGGTAGGACTCATTTAAAACTTTGTCTCCCACTTTTCTCCCAGAGCTGTACATTTCCTCATTTCCCTTTCCCTTGTAAATAAACCTTTTATTAACCTTTCACGTGTGCCTGCAGTAGAGCATTGATAAGTCCTTTTAAGCGCGCGGGTGAGGACCCACAGTCAGGCACCCCGTTTTGTATCGGGGTTGCTCTACAACAATTTTTGGCATAACCCACCAGCATTCCCACCAGCAACAAATGAGATTGGATTCACAATGAACTAAATCCTTGACAGCATTTGGTATTGTCAAAGCTCCAGAGTTTTGGCATTTTAATAGGTGTATTATCTTGTTTTACTTAACAGCCTTCCAGTGATATGTGGCGCTAAACATCTTTTCATATGCACACTTGTCATTTGTATATCTTTTTCAGTGTGGTGTTAGCTTGGGTCTTTCACCTATTTTTAATTGAATTAGTTTGTTAATTTGCTTTTTGCTGAATGTTGAGAGTTCTTTGTATATTCTGAATAACAGTCTCTTATTAGATAATCTTTTTTGCAAATATTTTCTCCTAGTCTGTGATTTATCTTCTCATTCTCTTGACAGTGTCTTATGCAGAGCAGAAGTTTTAAATTTTAATGAAGTCCAGCTTATCAATTATTTCTTTCATGGGTCATGCCTTTGATGTCGTGTAGTTGGTTTTTAATAACAAAAACAATGACAATAAGACTAACCCAAAGTGGGAAGTTAATTGTCACAAAAGCAATTATTTGGTGTCAACTTGAAGATAGTGTTTTACTTGGCATTTAAGAATCCTTCCATGCAAATCATTCCCATGGACGTGTAATAAGAAAATATAAATATTTACAGTGACTTTGTTTATCAGATTCAAATGAAGTGTCTACAGTAGAAATAGACCATGTTGCATATGTCGGGCCTGATTGGGGATTAGTGGGCAGCAACCACTCCCCAGGCTGCTGTTCCTGACATCTTGCTTGAACTCAAAGCCAGGTGTTAGCAACAGAAGTATTTTTTTCATTCCCTGGGAAGCTACTAATGGTGTTCCAAGGAAGAATGCCTTCCTTCGCTGTTCCAGTAGCATGCTAATTACTGTACTCTACAGACATGTTAAACATCACGATTTATAGTAGGAGTTGCTCTGCCATGGCAAGAAATGACAATGATAATAACAAGACAGCCACATTCCAAGGAGCTGGACTCCAAAGAAATACATGTCAGGGAGATGGTCGGGAAAAGAGATTGGCAGCCATGCTCTAAGAGATACCGTAAACTGAATGTTTGTCAGTCAGTGAGCTCAGACGGATAGGTGACTGAAGAGGAATTCACAGGAAACGGGAATTTCCTTCTGATTTCATTGAGATTTAATTGATATACATCAATGTATAAATTTAAGTATAGAGCATCATTGTTTGACTTACATATATTATGAAATAATCACCACAGTAAGTTTAGTTAACATCCATAATCTGATATAGTTATAATAAGGAGAAAAAGAAAAAAACATTCTCTGTGATGAGAACCATTAGGATTTACTCTGAACAGCTTTCATGTCTCATACAGCAGTGTTAGCTACCGTCATGCTGTACATCACACCCCAAGTACTTCTTTATCTTAAAATTGGAAGTTTGTGCCTCTTGACTACTTCCTGATTCCCCTCACCCCGCTCTCTGCCTTTGGTAACCTTAAGTCTGATCTCTTTGTTATGTGTATAGTTAAAAAATTTTATTTTAGGGCCTCCCCGGTGGCGCAGTGGTTGAGCGCTGGGTTGTGAAGCTGCCCGCAACCTCTGAGGCGCCGGTTTGATCCCCGGCTGCTTCCCGGCCACAGGCGAGGGTCCCACATGGCGCACAGACCTCTCCTGCCGCCTGCTGCTCCCCTCAGCAGTGTACTTCGGTCCTTCTGCCTGCTCTGCTCCTCGCTCTGGCTCTGGTGAATTCTCTCACCCTCCCGCGCTTCTGACTGTACCCAGTGCTTGTATGTATAAATAAGCAAACAAACAAATAAATAAATCTTTAAAAAAAAAAACCATTCTAAAAAAAAATTTTTATTTTAATTTTCCACATATAAGTGAGATCATACAGTATTTGTCTTTCTGTGTCTGACTTTTTTCACTTATTTCCAAGGATCATTCATGCTGTCACAAATGGCAAAAGTTCATTATGTTTTTATGGCTGAATAATAATGCATTATAATATGTGTGTGTATAAGACATCACTACATACAGATATATCTCACAACTTCTCTATTAAGCTGTTGTTGGACACATACATTGTTTCCTTATCTCGGTTATTATAAATAATGTTGCTATGAAATCCAATTTCATAGCATGTATATCTTTTTCAGTGAATGTTTTCATTTTCTGTGAAATGAAGTGGGGTTGCTGGAGCTTATGGTAGTTCAAATTTTAGTTTTTAGTTTTTTCCCATAGTGGTTGTATCAGTTTACAAGCAATGCACAATACTTCCCTTTTCTCCCTGTCTTTGCCAACACTTTTTGATGATGTTCATTCTAACAGAAGGTGGTATCTCACTGTGGTTTTGATTTGCATTCCCCTAACAACTAGTGATGTTGAGCATCTTTTCACGTACCTGTTGGCGATTCATCCATTTTCTTTTCTTTTTTTAAAATATTTATTTATTGATAATAAATAAATCTTATATAAATAATCTTGTATAAATATTTATACAAGCACTGGGTACAGTCAGAAGCGCGGGAGGGTAAGAGAATTCACTAGAACCAGAGCAGGGAACAGAACAGGCAGACTGACGAAATACACTGCTGAGGGGAGCAGTGGGCGGCAGGAGAGGTCTGTGCGCCATGTGGGACCCTCGCCCGTGGCCGGGGATCGAACTGGCACTGCAGAGGCTGCGGGCAGTTTCGCAGCCCAGTGCTCAACCACTGCGCCACCCGGGGAGGCCCGATTCATCCATTTTCTTAGGAAAACTCTATGTTCATGTTCTTGGTTCATTTTTAACCTGGATGGCAATGACGGTGATGATGATGGTGATGATGGTGATGGGGATGATGATGGGGATGGTGATAGTGATGACTGCTTGTGTTCCGTGAGTACTTTATAGATTTTAGATATTAACCCCTTATCAGATACTTGAATTGCAAATATTTACTTCCATTGCATAGGTTATCTTTACTTTGTTGATTTATTTATTTATTTTTTGTTTGCTGTGCAGATTCTTTTTAGTTTGATATAGTCTCATCTGTCTATTTCTAATTTTGTTGCTTGGGCTTTGTTACATAGCCAAAAAATCATTTCTAAAGCCAAGGAGGTTTTGTCCTATGGTTTCTTTTAGGAGTTTCAATGGTTTCAGGTCTTAACATTTAAGTCTTTGAGCCATTGAGTTAATTTTTGTGATTGTAAGACGAGAGCTAGTTTCATTCTTTTGTATTTGCTTTCTGAGCTACATTTATTGTAGAAACTGTCTTTTCTCCATTGAGTAGTCTGTGCTTCTTTGTCTAATATTAGTTAACCATATATGCTTGGGTTTATTTCTGGGTTTTGATTATTTTTCATTGATCTATTTGTCTGGTTTTTTTTTTTTTTAATATCAGTACCATACTGTTTTGACCACTACAGCTTTATAGTATCTAGACATTTGGAATTGTGATGCCTCCCTCTTTGTTCTTCATTCTCCAGATTGCTCAGATGACTAGCCATTTGGCTGTTTTATGGTTTCATATAAATTTTAGGATTGCTTTGTCTACTTTTGTAAAAAAATGTCACTGGAGTCTTGATGGGGATTGCATTGAATGTATAGATGACTTTTGGTCATATTGCCATTTTAACAATATTCTCTGAATCCATGAACACTGCACACTTTTGCATTTATTTGTATCCTCTTTGAATTCTTTCATCAATGTCTTATAGTTTTCAGAGATATTTTGCCTATTTGTTTAAGTTTATTCCTAAATACTTTATGGTTTTTGATGCTATTGCAAATGGAATCATCTCAGTTTTCTCAGTTGTGTTGAAGCAGGCACTTCAGCTGAGCCTGCAGTAGACCATTCCAATGTTCTATTGGGATGGCTGCTTCTGGGCACTGCAGTGTTAGGTTCAAGCCGTCATATCTCTTCTTTCATAAAATGTGTCCCATCATCTGAGGCAATGTTATGTGGCATCTCATTTGATAAAAGTTATTTTGTTATCCTTTCCATGTTACTGGTAGTGGCACTGTGGACAGAGAAGGAAAATACACACCTAGAGAAGGTATCAATTCCAGTAAGAACAATTACTGCCTCCTCCAAAACAGAATGAGCTCAGTGTAATCCAGTTGCCGTTAAATGAGTGGTGGGTCTCCTTGAAAGATGGTATGATCCCAGGGTTCAGTGTTAGTCCATTGCTGCTGGAAGGCTGAGCATTTAGCAGTACAGTAAATAGGACCAGCCTGGTGATAGGGAGTCCAGCAGATTGGGCTCATCATGGCCTTATACCTATCCTCTGGACAAAATCCCATATTAGAGATATCACTACCTGAACACAAGAGGCCTGCAGCACCTATAAGTATCATTTTAACCAACACATTAAAGATGGCACACTACAAATACAGAAAGACTCTGGATCTTTGAGGGTCCTATTGAGCTGGCTATACCATTTAGATTTTGAACCAATGTTTGAAGCTGTCTACATTCAGACTACCAATCATGGAAGACACTTTGGAAAACTGGCAGTGCCTCAAAAAGATACCATAAAACAAGAAATTCCACACCTGGGTTTATACCCAAGAGGAATGAAAACATGCATCCACATAAAAATTTGTGCACAAGTGTTCATACCATTTTTCATAACAGCCCCAATGTGGGGGGAGAAAAACCTCAATATCTATCAGTTCATGAATACATAAACAAAATGGTATACGGTTGTGTTGCATCATGATGTTTTGGTCAAGGACAGACTGCATATATAACATAGTGAAGTAGGCCATATATTTAGATTTGTCTAAGTTCACTCTGTGATGTTCTCACAATGATGAAATTGCTTAACAGCCTGTTTCTCAATTATTCACAATCCCATTATTAAGCAATATATGACCGTATTCACTGTGTTCATACGATGGAATATTACTCAGCAATAAAAAAGAGTGGAATACTATTACATACTACAATGTGGATGAACCTTGAAAATATTATGCTAAATGAAAGAAACCAGTCACAAAACCACACACTGTATGATTCCATTCCTCTGAAATGTGCAGACTAGGCAAATCCGTAGAGACAGAAAGCAGAGCAGTGATTACCTGGGGCTAGAGATGTAGATGGCAGGAATGGAGAATGGCTGTACGCACTTTCTCCTTGGAGTGCTGAAATGTTCTGATTTGATTTTGATGATGGTTGCAGGACTCTGTGAATATATTAAAAATCACTGAACTGCATACTTGAAATAGACAAATTTCTCTCTATATATATATATTTCAATATAGCTGTAAAAAATACAAATGGGAACAAATTTTTCTTCTACTCTCTAGCTACCCTTTTCTAGAAGTTACCATTTACCAACTTCTTGGATATACGTCCCGAAATATTTTACGTGTATTTGAGCACATGCACATATACATTTGCATATAATTTGTTGCATATGACACCTATAATTCTTTAATTTTTGTACTTAAAGCTGTACTGTGGAGGGCCTCCTCGGTGGCGCAGCGGTTGAGCGCTGGGTTGCGAAGCTGCCCGCAGCCTCTGCGGCGCCGGTTCGATCCCCGGCTGCTCCCCGGCCACCAGAGGAGGGTCCCGCATGGCGCGCAGACCTCTCCTGCCGCCCGCTGCTCCCCTCAGCAGTGTACTTCGGTCCTTCTGCCTGCTCTGCTCCCCTCTCTGGCTCTGGTGAATTCTCTCACCCTCCTGTGCCTCTGACTGTGCCCAGTGCTTGCATAAATAAATAAATAAATAAATATTTAAAAAAAAAAAAAAAGCTGTACTGTGGAGACAGACGCTGAGAACAGAACACACTGTGAAGACAGAGGCATCGTGGGCTGGTGGGTTTAGAAGTCAAGGAGTGCCAAGGACTTATCAGCAGCCAGCAGAAGCTAGGAGAGGTCTGGGAAATGTCCTTCCTTAGAGCATTCACAGGACCTAGACTCCAGAACTGTGAGAGAATAAATTTCTGTTGTTTAAAGTAAAAAACAAACCCCCCCCCCAAAAAAAACAAAAAACAGGCAAGAATGTGTCTTAGAGGTCCTTCTAGAGAATCACATATATGATTGGTTGACTCCTTTTATGGGGCAGTATTCGTTTGTAGGATTGATGAGATTCCTATTGGATAATTAGGTATTTCCAATTTTTGCTTTATGAAACAATGCTGAAATAAACCACCTTATCCATATACCATTTCTTACATTTGCAAGTACATCTTGGGGATAAATTCTCTGAAGTGGAATTGTTGGATTAGATTAAAAGAAAAGTGCATTTTTAATTTTGATAGAACTGCCAAACTGTGCTCCATAACACTTGTGGGCATTTATCCTCTCACAAGCCATGTGTGTGCCTGTTTCTCTAGAGCCCCTCTCACGCTTGGTAAAATGCTTGATTTTACTAATCTGGTAGTACAGAAATTGTATCTCATCACATTTCTTTTTTTTTTTTTTTAAAGATTTATTTATTTATGCATACAAGAACTGGGGTACAGGCCAGAGGTGTGGGGGGGTGGGAGGATCCACCAGAGACAGAGTGGGGAACAGAACAGGCAGACTGACTGAAATGCACTGCTGAGGGGAGCAGCAGGGAGTCAGGAGAGGTCTGCTGCACCATGTGAATCGGTTCCCTGGCCGGGGATTGAACTCGTGCTGCGGTGGCTGCGGATTGCTTCATTGGCTGCATCTTAACCCCTTGCGCCACCAGGGAGGCCCCTCATTGCATTTCTAATTTGCATTTTTATGAGTCTGTTAAATCTTTTCCACATTTAATATCATCATATTTAATACTATTAATAAGTCATTTGAAATTTTCAGAAAATTGTTTTTTCCTATCTTTTACCCATTTTTCTATGGGTTGCTGGCCTTTTTCTTACTGTTTTCTCTGGAAGCTCTTTATATTAAGGAAATTAGCTCTTGGTCCCATTTTCAGCAAATATTTTCCCAAATTTTTCATTTGTCTCTTAATTTTATGATTTTTTTTTTTGCCACAAAGATTTTATTTTTGTATAGTCAAATTTATTGCTATTTTTTAAGAGTTCCTGAATTTTGTGTCATGACTAAAGAGGCTACCCCCACTCAAGACTGTAAAAATAATTATTCTAGTTCATTTATAGTTTTTTCTTTTGTATGTAAATATTTATAGAACTTATTTTGCTTCAAGGTATGAGTAGGGATTCAATTAATTTTTTTTCTAGATGCCTTTTTAGTGGTTCTGGCTTTATTACTGAGTTATCTGTTTCCTGTTTTTTGGTAGGCTACCTTTGATGTGTCCCTTATGTGTATCTGGGTTTGTTGCATTGCATTGTATCTCTGGAATAAACACCTCTTAATCATGATGCATTACATATTTAATGTGGTATTCAATTCTATTTGCTAATATTTTACTTAGGATTTTTGCTTTAATATTCATAAGTGGGACCAGTCTATAATTTTCTTTCATGTATGCATATGCAGTGTTTATTGTTATTTTAAATTAATGGCATAATCACTACTTTGAAAGATTAAGAAAGTCTTCATTCTTGTTGTAGCTCTGGCATAGCCTTAAGTTATCTAGTCTTTGAAGGTCTATTAAAATTCCCTGTAAAACCTGGGCGTAGTGCTTTTTTGGATTTAGCTCTTGAATAACATTTTTTTGGTATGGAAATTAGCCTTTTAAATTTTCCATCTACAAGGCTCAATTTTGGCAAGCTACATTTTCTAGAAATTCTCCATTTCATCTAGATTTTCAAATGTATTTGCATAGTACTATATGACTTAAAGTCATTTTAAAATAGCCTCTGATTCATGTTTTAATTTAGACTTGTGCTTCCTTTTATCTGTTTAAATGATTTCTTTTACTATCACTTATAATCTATGTGAAATCAAGGAATTTATTCTATTTTACCACCTCTCCCCAACACACAGTTTTTTTTTGGTTAAAAACTGCGTTCTATCTACTTTGTCAAAGCAGTTAAGTTACATTGCGCTTCCAATTTATTCCCATCTTTGGCTTGTCTGAGCTCTACAGTTAAATATAGTCAGTGCTTACCACCAGACCTTTCAACAGTTTTCTCATTGGTCTCTTAGTTGGATGAAGGTGGTTTCAAGAAGATTCCCCATGAAGGATTCATTAGTACAAAATTCCATAAATTCTTGCACATCTAAAATGGTTTTTCTATAAATAAGCACATGCAAAAAATGCTCAGTATCCTTAGTCATTAAGGAAACACAAATCAAAGCCATAATTAGATACCCGTTCACTCAGAGAATGGCTATGCAAAATGAAAAAAGAAAACAAGTGTTGCAAGGATGTGGAGAAATGGTATTCCATGCATTTTGCTAGTGGGAATAAAAGATGGTCCAACTGTGGTGGAAAAGTTTGGTAGTTGCTCAAAAATTTAAAGAGTTGTCAAATGACCCAACAATTCCAGTTCTAGATATACCCAAGAGAGTTGAAAAGAAGTACTCAGGCAAGTCCTTATCCTGAAGTATTCGTGCAGCACTGTTCACACTAGCCAAAAGGCAGACACAATCTAAGTGTCCACCAGTGGATGAGCAGCTAAGTGAATGGCGGTTATTCATACAATGGAAATATTATTCAGCCATAAAAAGAAACTAAGTACTGATACATACATACAACAACACGGGCAGACCTGACAACATGAAGCTAAGCGAAAGGGTGATAGGGTGTAAATGCTTAATGTGAACAGAGTTTACTTTGGAGTGATGAAGTGTTTAGGAATCAGAGGTGGTGGCTGCAGAACATTGCCAATGCAATAAATGCCACTGAATTGTTGATTTTAAAAGTTAATTTTATGTTGAGTGAATTTCACCAAAACCATATTTTTTCTTTTAGCCTTGAGGTGAAAAACAGCTAAATTGGATTAAAAAAAATCCTTAGTTTACACTTTATGTGAGTTTTTTGATTAAAACTACTTCACTACTGTCTTGCTTTATAAGTTGCTTCTGGAAATCTAATGCTGATTTGATTCTGTTTTCTTTATATATGACTTGTTCTTTTTTCCCATGGAGTACCACCGCTTATTTTCTTAACTTTAATGTCTAGTTGTATTACTATGTTTCAGAGTTGAGTTGTGAAGCAATTTTTCTTCCTAGTGGGCCCTTACAATATGTATTCAGGTCTTTTACTTTAGGAATGACTTCTGGAACTACAATTTTATATATTAGTCCTATCTCATTGCTTTATTTTCCTCTTGAACTTCTTTAATTATACTAATGTTTGCCCAACATATCTACCATTTCCCCAAGATTCCTTCTACTTACTGCTTTAATTTCATTTTCTTGGTACTTTTTGTCTGTATCCATTATCTTTACTTACATTTTCTGTAGATACCTTAGTCATTTCAAGTTTTTCTTCAATTTATTTAATATTAGTTCCCACTAATCAATCTATTTTGAGTTTTAAAATTTCTGATCTATGTCCCTCTTCCACAATTATTTAATTATATTTAATTGATGGTGGAATATTATATTTTCTTTTGCATCAGGGTTGTCTTTAAAAATTTCTCCTGGCGCTTTTAAGCTACAGAAAAGTTTTTCTTAAACTTCAAAAATTGAAAGCATAAATTCAGGAAAGTGAACAGCTGATAGCCCAATGAGTCACTCCCCGCCCCCCCATCTTATTAATCCACCATTACGCCATTACTAATAATCTATCACATGCCTGAAGTCATCACACCACTGCTTACCAGAAACAGTGTCATCCTTTGTACCACCTGATCAGCCAGTGGCCTAGTTTCTGAGTCCCATCTTGATGTCCTGTTTACTATATTTACCGCCTTAGTCAGGGATCCCCCAAAGAAGGGTGGAACAAGGGCTTGCCTGCAGGCACTTTATTTGGGAGATGATTCCGGAGACATGAGAGTGGGTCAGGGAGGGATGAAACAAAAGGAAAAGCCAACGCAAAGCTGCATTCACAAGCCAGTCACCTACATGCACGATGGGGGTTACTGCCCTGACCCCACAGGACCCAGTACTGTCCGTCAGAGAAGTGGGAGAGAGGAGAGTTGAGATGTTACCTTCCTTATTTGTGAATAAAAGATGGGAACGAAGGATGCGAGACGGGGCCCAAGAAGTGTTTGTGTTTCCCCCGTGATTTTCATGCTCACAGTTAAGCAGTCAGCTCTGTGTCGTCGTGTCTGACAGTGCTTCAGGTTTTCTCTTTGTCTTTTGTCAGTACTTATTTTACAATGTGCATGAAATGATTTGCGTCTATCCAGCTTGAGACTATAGGATTCTTATATCGGTATCTTGTACATTCTGAAAAATTCCTAGCCATTGTCACTTGAGATATTCATTCTAATTCTTTTTCACTCTCCTGGGACTTGAGTTATTTGTGTAACTTTTCACATCACCCCAAGTCTTTTAACTGCCCCCCCCCCGCTTTTTTTTCTTCTTCTTTTTGGTATTTCTGCCCCTCGGAACGGATATTTTTCTTGACTTTTTTTTACAGTTCACTAAGACGCTCTTCAGTTGTGTCTGGTGTGCTGCTGGGCCCACCTAGTGAATTCCTAATTTGTTATTGTGATTTTCACAGGGTTCCTTTTCACAGTGTCCAATTCCAAGTCCTAGCTCTCCAGATTGTTTTTTTTTTTTTGACTCTATAAAAACACATTAAGCATTATCTGTCAAAGTTCACAGATGGTGACTTCATTGTCCAATGCCTGTTTTACTTGTCTGTTGCCTTAGTCTTTAGACATGTGGTCCTGGAACTATGACAAAGCACATTCACAGCAAAGAAAGCTCAGAATGACACATTTCCTTAAACATTTTGAAAAATTCCTTATGCTTCAGCCCCTTACCAGATTTCTGTGAATTTTCTGAGTTCCAGTCGCTGTTACTTCACTGTCAAAAGGTACAAGAAGCAAAGCCACAGAAATTAGCTTCCTGTTTCCTTAGTTTCCTAATAGCTAAGAGTGCCCCTGTCGTGTTAAATTAAGAAATGTATTAACACATGGGCCTCCCCGGTGGCGCAGCGGTTGAGCGCTGGGTTGCGAAGCTGCCCGCGGCCTCTGCGGCGCCGGTTCGATCCCCGGCTGCTTCCCGGCCACCGGAGGAGGGTCCCACATGGCGCGCAGACCTCTCCTGCCGCCCGCTGCTCCCCCCAGCAGTGTCCTTCGGTCCTTCTGCCTGCTCTGCTCCCCGCTCTGGCTCTGGTGAATTCTCTCACCCTCCCGCGCTTCTGACTGTACCCAGTGCATGTATAAAACAAACAAACAAACAAATAAAGAAAGAAAGAAAGAAAACATGCCTCTATAAAAAAAAAAAAAAAAAAAAAAAAAAGAAATGTATTAACACAAAGGAATATTTTGGGAAGCCATGGAAGCACTCGCAGATGCTGACTGAGAGAGGCTGAGCTGCATACAGGTGTAAACAGATCAGATGATGTACACGCAAAGACGGAAATGGTGAATTTGACTCAAAGACAACTAATGGTGTTTGTGAAGAGATGGTGGAGCCATCACCGAGATGAGAAATAAGGTGAGAAGAAAGATGAAGAGATGAAGATAAGAAGGGGCAAAAAGGAGAAGAAAAGCCTACCGGTGTCTATAACAGGATAAAGATCATGCTCTAGGTCTGACAGTACCAGATTTTACTTCAGAAAAGTGGAAGGAGAAATATGGTTTAATGTTACTGGGAGGAAGTAAGAGCAAGAGCAAAAGGGGTACCAGCACCGGGAACATGGGCCGCATTTTCCAGGTTGTTGGGCTGGAAGGGACAGGCCACTGGGTGATACTTTGAAGCTGCAGTGAGAATTCTCTCTGGCCAGATGAAAGAGATGAGGATGAGGAGATGTTCTCTAATTCTGCATTTGCAGCTTTCATTGCAGCAGTTTCTGTAGTTTGGCTCTTTTTCAGCTTTCTGGTCGAGTTGGAGGTGGTTTGTGTTCCAAACAAAGAGACATAAAAGCTATGTTTGCTACCATTCGTGGGCCTAATTAGGCATGTTGCCCAATCTATAATCAATCGTGGGTCTAGTTTTTGTTGAGGTGGTCAGAGGCCTTCAGCAGGAGCGGCTTATCAAAATGTCCTCTCAGAATTGGGGATGTATCCTGATGTTGTCAATCACACAGTCATTTTATAACCCAAGGGCTCTCCCTTGGTTGTTTCGTGTTACACAAAGATGACATTTTAGTCTCATATTTGGTTGCAGACATGATTCACATTTTGCTATCTAGTGCATAAGGAAATCATTCTAAATTCAGCAATAGTGCCAGTTTGACTAAAAAAAAAGTTATTTTCCACATCCACAAAAATGTTAATCATGTTCTTGTTAGAACATGTGTAAGAAGTGGTTTTCATTGTCACAGCTCTTGATGTTAGATTACTAAAATAATTTATGTTTTGTTGTGGGAACATGGGTGCACGCAGAGCCTCCCGGGTCACGTGACCGCGGCTCCGCCCACGCTTCTTCACAACACATAGAGATTATTTGTGTTTTGTGGTAACAAATGAATGGCAGGAGCGGCAGAATCTCAATGTGGCTCTTCTTTATTTGATTAAATATATTCTCTATTTATTCTAAAAAAACTAATTTAAGTTAAACGGCAATAAACCATGATAATTCAGAAAACATGTTGAAACTGAGAGTGAAGAGAAATGTTCTCTACGTAAACCACACTGTAAACCATAAAACTTATTTTTGTCAACTGCTTCTCATGACAGTGGCTGGGAATTTGACATTTCTACTACAGTAGGCAAAAAACATGTAAAATACACTCTTCCACATACCACATCACATCTCTATTTATATTTCCAAACAGAAAGCATCACAGCCCTCAAAAAAGTGCTGAGTGTGCTGCACACGCGTCCGCCCACAGCTCTAAGATCACACAGGCGTTACCTTAAAGTGGTGCATTTGTGGGGCGAGCCTCTGCGGGCGCCCCTCCGGCCCCCAAGCCTTACTGAATGGGTCAGGCTTGGCTCACCAAGAGAAGACTCTTGCTCTGTAAATCCAAAAGGTGGTGAACTTGTCAGTGAACCCTGGTGAACGCAGGAAAGAAACCAGAAACTGTCCTTGGACAGATTATGAAACCCAATCGAAGCATCCAGATGATAGCATTCAGCGCCACTTACCCACCTGAAAACGTGTCAGTGGTTATTCACTTATCTTTAAAAACGAGCTCTGTGAAGATGGCCATAGTTTACAAGCTAGAAGAGGAATCTTTAATTATGATGATGTACATGAACGTGACAGAAACATGGTTCGTTCGCTCATCGTATCTGAGGTATACATTCCACACAGTTGACTAAATCTCAGAAGTTTTCTAATAAAAACTTCCCCTCTCCATTTAAAGATCATAGGAAGCCAGCACAATCCGGTTCTTCTCCTCGCAGAAAGGGCATTCAGTTTGGGATGTAACGTTTTAAACAATAATACAAACCTCCTGGGAGAGTACCACAATAAATGTCTCAAAAACCACTCAGTTAATCCCGGGGTATAATCTGGCTGTTTTAAATTACTTCAGGGAATATTACGGGCCGTAATGACACTGTAACTGCATAAAGCCAAAGAAAGCTAGAAAGAGAGGCCAAAAAGATGAGCTCAGAGCCAGCTGAAGTGACAACAAACATGTGGCTGTTTACTAGGATTGGAGAGGTTTAGTCTGCAGATGTTTGTGGTCTCTAGAAGGTTCCAAAGGAATGAGTTGTTATGAAGATTTGCAGAGTTTGATGAGAGCAAGATTCTTCTTGGAGATGGCAGACCCCAGACAGGGAGGCCCAATGGCAGAGACGGAATTGATAGATTTCTGCGGTCAGATCATACTCTACTGGTCCCACAATGTACATCAACAAATTAATAGTGTACGGATGTCATTTCAAAGCCTCCTAAAGACGAGAGTCATTATTGAAGCGATTAGAGCACAGATGGTTCAAACTATATGCAGATACTCATACTTGCATTTTTGCATTCTAGCTGCTTTTTTTTTCCTGGTGAACTGTAATGAATTGTCTCATAATCTATTCCATCTTCTTGCCATTAGCAGGCTTTGAATGTTCACAAATAGGAGCAAAGAACTCATTTTCCAGAGCTTTAATCACACAAAGAGGGAATGCCTAATTCTCTAAATGAAATGGTCTGTGATCACTGAAGCAGAGATTTAATATATCACGGCAAATTAGGTAGATTTTAATAAATTACTTATCTCCCTGAATACTTTACATATGCTTAAGAAGGAACATAGCCTGTTTGCAAACAGTGAAAACCCACAGCCTATAAAAATCCTTTGAAGAAAATGACAAATAAAAAAGTAAATTAAAAAATGAAATGCATTATAGCCTAGACCTCTAGAGACAATTCCTTTGCAGCATTGATTCACAGCTCCATTAAAAATATCAATTAAATCCTTCAGTGAGATTGGGTAAAAGCTAGAAAATTAACTTTCTGAGCTGCTTTTTGAGGAATGGTTATCCAGATACACTCCAGTATTGTACAAGCTTGATGTAAATTTTAAAAACGATAAAAAGATACTCTTTTCAGGTGTAACTGAGCATATCAGAATTTGAGCCATACTTTTAATAATTTCTTTCTATGTCACAAGCTAAGTTTTCAAAGGACAAATTTCTGTGTGTGTATATACATACACACACACACACACACACACACACACGCATCTATCTCTTTATATACATACATCCCAGGGCCACATCTCACCATTACAAATACCCAAAATAATAAAACTAGGAATACCTGTAATTTTTAAGGAAACAAACAAACAAACAAACAAAAAACTTGCAGTAATAAGTTGGTGCCAAATCTCATTCTTATATTTAATTGATAGAAACTGCATGCATCAAAGAAAATGCACACTGAGCTTTAATATGCATAAAATGGATATTAGCATTTTAAAGAGGAAGATTAACACATTAATCCAAGTAATTTTCATATATTGCTTCTAATAAAATCTTCACAGTATAAAACTCGTAATGAGGCTAATCATAGCATTCCATTTAGTGGGACGATTAGGGATAACAGAAAAGTATTTCTTTTTCATAGCTTTGGTAAGATTGATGATGCTTGTTGCTTATTAAAACTAAAAGTGGGAACTGCATGTCAGCTCTTCATAAGAAAACGTTGAAAATGCAGATAGCGTTCTCATGCTAACATGGAGGTATAAATTATTGAGGAGCTGTTGCCCAGTGTGGGGAACTTAAGTCCTGAGGGGTGGCCGTCATGGGAAGGAGGGAGTAGAAAAATAAACAAACGAAAAAGCATACAAAAACTCGGAACACCTCAAACCCAGACCTCCCGCCTCCCCGCGTCCCATGAATGATTGTGTGCACCGAAGTAACTACAAGACTCTCAGTTAAGAGCTTTCACGGGAACATTTACTCAGGAGCAGGAGTCGCCTCTGGAGCAGTTTCCTTCACGCCTCCGAGTCACCTCTGCATTCCTCGTGCACAGACCGCAGGGCATGAAGCGCTTGCACCGTTATCCTGAGCTTGCCAATACTTGCGCCATCGGCTCGTGCATCGAAAACTGGAAAATGGCAAAAAGGTGTTATTCTCTCTCATAGATTTACCTTCAGATAGGCAAGGGGAGACAGCAGTGGTAGAGGGGAAAAGATTTCCTGAAAGTCTGAAGTTCACTGGCATCTCTGTGATCTATGAAATAAAGCCTGGCATGTGTGTGTGTGTGTGCGCGCGCGTGCGTGCGCCTGTGCACAGACACGCCATGTAGACATACTGCTTGTAGAGCTAAAACTAATCATCCAGTCCTGAAGTTTACTCAGGTTCTAAGATTCCCTGATAGAATCAGCATTTGTAAGCTCGTAAGGAATAAAAAGTCTAAAGAGATCAAGTTATGGCAGAGAACTTTCGAAGGCACAGGCTAATAACACATTTCAGAATGGCAAACCGCTGTAAAGAACATGATCGTAATTTGGACGGATTGCTTATTCATCGCACTAAGGAAAACATTCCACTTAAAACAGATTATACGTGAAATAAGAAATGCTAAAAGGTCTGCGGATGGGCTGTGTAGGTCCATGAACTGATACTGTGGGAAGACAGACATGCCGCTTTGAGTGTACGTGGGCTTTTGCTGGAAGAGGGCCCCACTCTCTGCGGCGTCTCGCAGACAGACTGCCCGACGCCTCCAGGGGCCTGCTCTGGTGGAGCCACACGTGGCGCTGATTCAGTGCCTGGGTCTCCTGTGTGAGCGCTTGTGAGTCGATAGAGTTCCTGTTTATACTCCTTGGTTTTTCCTGGACTTCTATTGTGTGACTGTGTGTTTAATTCTAAGATAATTTGTAAAGAAATTCTCAAATCAAACTTGCCACACAGGTGACAGACATGAGCAGGCAGGGTGATCTCGGGGGACAGTGGTCCCCGCTCCCTCCCCTGAGTGCTTCACTCCTTTGGGACTTCTCACTTTTGCCAGCCAGACCAAAGCACTAAGATTCTGACGCGGCTGGTGCTTAATCTTTTTCTTTAACCCCACAAAGTGGCCACCGCGGCTGCCTGCGTCACAGCAGCGTGGTCAGACGTGGTCTCAGAGAAGGAGATGGCTGCGCACAGAGCTGACTGGAAACAAGGACTAGACTAGAACACACAGCACACTGTGGTCACTTTCGTCAGCCTCTTGGTGCCTTCAGCAGGGCTGAGGTTAACACTTCCATCCTTCCATTTTTTTATTCTGTGCCTGCCAAAACTGTGAACATGTGTTTATAAACATGTTCCGTTTATAAACATGTACAGTTTATAAAGATTTCCCACAACAGGTTTCTAATGTGGTTATTTGGTCTAATTTGGTCAATTATTTGGTTAGATCCTGACTTTGGAGCACTTGATGTGCACCCAGGACAAGCAGCCCAACTCATGGACCGTGGCTGGACTACGACGGCGTGGGCGGCGCCCGAGGTGCCTAATCAAGTTTGTTTAATGCACGGACAAATGACTCAACGAGCCAAGTCCGGCTACGACTCTGCTAACTTAACAAAGGGGACTAGGACTCGGCCTCGGCTCTCCGCTGACGACAGACAGCCCAGGGCATCCCTGACAATTTTAGGATGTCCGATTCATAAACTACAGCCTCTCAGCGTGCCCTAAATATGTCATCTAAGACAGGGGAGAACTGCAGCAGTGCTGGGAATCACGCGTGGTGAGGTGCAAATCCAGTCAAAGTATATTTTGTCAGCAATTCTTATTCTTCCCCAAATCCTGGTTGGAAACAGGCGACCACACTCTTCAGAGTTACTGAAGCGGCTCTGTCCCTGGGTGGGAACTGCGAATCAGAGAGAAGCCCGACAGTCCCCGTGAAGACTACCGAGACGAGCACAGCCAGCTGAGGTCGGGCCAGAGACGTGAGGCCTCCGTAGCGGCCTGAAAACCATCCAGTGGTGACATTTTTATCAGTCCCCACTCCCCGAGACTAAGGAATGGAAGAGTTTTTTTAGAAACTCAATTATTTTAAAATTTCTGCTGACTGAAAGGCAGACAGGAGGAGGGCAAAGAAGTGAGGCAGGGGAAGGGCTTTGGCAAGGCCTCAGCTTGAGGTGCAAGGATTCAAAACACAAGCAACCAGCCAGAAAGAAAAGGTTTTCACAGAGCGCTCGGGGTCCGGCGAGGAGTGCGGCTGTCCACAGCGGCCTCGCCTCCACGTACCGTCCACGTCTTGCTCGAGGATGTCTCTCCCCTCCTGAAACACCTCTGCGAGGTCGACGTTGGCAATGCCGACGTCCTCGCACTCCAGGTCCTGCTCGTCCTCTGGAGGGTCGCTGACCACAGTGAAGCGAATGCTGAGTGGGGAAAGAAGAGAGAAAATCGCCGCGAGTCAGAGAAAACCACGATCAAACAAAACTCCCCAAGTTTCATTACTAAGTATGAAATCTTGACGTTTCCAACCATCTCAACAAGAAGAAAATTATCTTAGGTTTGATAAGTTATTACATGAACTATTAGAATTACTGTAGCACACCCAGCCTTCAAATGAACATTAATCCACTTTCCAGAGCACTAAGATTAACATTCATCTCCAGAATCTGAGAAAATGAGCGGGCAAAGAGAACCAGATGTTCCCTCTGACATTCGCTATCTGGTCACACTTTGACACATCTACTTTTAAGAGCAAGAGGACGAAGTGAAAGAAGAGCATGGAGGTTAGGGCAGCATTTTTAAAAGCAACGTACAACTCCGGAATTGCTCTGAGCAACTGAACCAACTCTATGTTCTACACATGCCTGGCTCGACTCCGGGTAACGCTCTGACTCGCGTTAGGTAAGTGTTGTAGCTCTGCCCAACAGCTCTGTGAACTGTTTGCATTACTTCAGCAATCTTCTAACTTACAATCATAGCATCCAAGTTTTATTTTACTTTTAGACACATAATTACAGGGTCCTGATGGAACTGATTTGATTTAGTGGCTTGTGTTGCAGCCAAACACACTTGGATTGACCGAATGACAGGAATTTACAGTGAAGTGCTCTTTTGATATGTCTTGGCAGCGGAGCTCAAACCATGGGCACTCGTGAACTACCATTTTAACCACTGCCAAAATGTGTCCATCCCCAAACAGAAACAAAACAGGAAACTTGTTTTTTAGATAACGTTTTTAGATAAAAAACCCCAAGTCTCAGAGAAATCATGCCTTGAAAAATATGGGTAAGATTCTTTCCAGTGCTTGTATGTACACAGTCAACATCTTATTCCTTCACAAAGTCCCTGATTTTACCTAGAAACAAATTTTAATCAGAAAATTGAAATCCCTTTATTTGAAATCAATTTTAATAATTAGGAAGAGAAGTCTGGAAATGGATAAGGTGGGTATTTTTATGATGCAAAAAAGGGATTAAGATGGTTAAGGGCATTCATCCTGGGTTCAAATTTCTGCTTTCCTACTTATTTGCTGTGTGACCTCGGGCTTATTACTTAACAATCTCTGATCTCAGTTTCTCTATCTACAGAATGGGAATAATTATACCTCTCTCCTAGGGCTCTTATGAGGATTAAATGAGATGACACATAAGGTGTGCCAGGAACATATTTTTCACTGAGTAAATGTTTGCTCTTTTCTGATTACTATTTTAGACCTAGGTGGAACTACGGAAATGTCTACATTTGCAAGGGTTGAGAAAAAGGAGGCGCAGGAAAGGCTTGTAGCCCTGTTTCAACGGACAACTTAGATGGCCAAATTACACACTGTCTGCATCACTCATTTCAACAAGACTGGAGAGGAAAGAAATGGTCCTGAAATCAATGTGCTTGGGCGAGTGGGAGTTAAAAGTGTTAGCTGAGGCACATTTTACTTTCATAAGACTTACAGAAAAAAATAAAGGCTACACAGATTCTAATATTGTTTAAGGTTCTCCTAATACAATGTTTCACATCTAAGGGTCATATACATATCCATTTATAAATGCAGATGACTACTCTTGAGTATATAGAAATCCTGAGACAAAAACAAAACAAAAAAAAATCCATCTAAATGCCAGGGGGAGGGGCAGAAATAAAAATACTCCATATTTCTAGCTTGAAATAATAGAGAGCAAAATGAGACAGCAAATAAAAAATTAATAAGCTATCAAGTCAAGCTCCAAGGGGAGGAAGGTATACTAAAGTAACTTACGAACTGTACTCTGGTCAAACCGTACACACACATCCACACTGCACATCCCACCTCTAACCCAGCCCCAAGAAAGAGGCGAAACCTCATTCCATGTTCTGAAGGGGTGGGAAGTCTAGTCTGAGGCCCTGGAGGTATACATGGGGTCCTGCCAAGGGCTCAGGTGGAGGTGGCACAGGTTTGCTACCTGAGCTGCTCCTGCTCCTCTTCCTCTTTCTCCCGTCTGTGACTCTGTCTCCGGGAGAGGCACGACCTTGCTGACCTGCCCGGCCAGGTCCTAGACACACACCTCTACGTACCCCCTCATCCTGGGGGATCCGCCTTGCAGTCTTTGTGACTGACTGGGTGCTCCCACCCAGAACTAGTCAGCTGACATGTCCCCTCTTCAGGTTTGCCTTCACTGTTATTTTCTATCTAACCTTCTCCTAGTATTCCTGCAATACATGGCTGGTTCACTTATGGACTTGTTACTGCCTGTCTTCCTCAGTGGGATGTAAATTCCATGAGTGTGGAGACTTTACCTTGTTCACACTTTCGCAGCTCCCGACACTTAGGTCGGGGATTATTAAGTATTTATTGAATATCTCTGTGGATTGAAAGATGTAAGTCCTTATGGAGGGCTGGGCCATTAGGGGGGTTCCTGGAGAATTCAGTCCTGGGGTTGGGCCTCACGATTTAGATCTTAAGCTTTACTTGCTGTTATTTAGGAAATCAGAAGGCACTAAAACTCCTTCAATCATTTGACATGAGTTTTGATTCTTTCCTTATTCTAAAATAATCCATTTTTATATGAAACAGATGAACCTAAGGGTCCCCGGTGAGTTTTGCATACTGGGATTCTGACGGTTTGTTGGATTTCATGAACAGCGCGTTGTTAAAGAGAAAAGAAACCAAAAAAGAACCTCCCGTTGGTGTAAAACTATGACTTCAAGTAAATGATGTTTAAAGTCCCATTTCAATGTGCAGTCTCCCTTCTAAAGCTGCTGATGCAGCCGGGGTCAGGTGCCAGAGGCGCCACATTGGATTCTCAGCAAAGCCACGACTTCGCGCAGGGTGGTGGGGGAGGACGGGCCAGCTTCTCCGACAGGGCTTTGTTAAGTCACCACCACCGTTCGGGAAGACGGCCGTCCAGAAAATGAAATTTGTAAATGAGGAGATACTTGACATAATACGACTTCTGAGTGTTTTAAAAAGGTAAGGACATTGGCTGGAGTAACAAGTGTCTTTTGGCTGTGGAAAATGCAGACGTCGACGCCCTTTCTTTTCCCTGTGAAGAAAACGCTGTTGTCAGGGAAGAAGAAGGCCAGGCCCCGAGCCAGCAGGGTGGGAGAGGCGCAGCCTGCGGCCTCAGCAGCCTCAGCCCAGGGGTCACGTTGGGCCTGCAGTGCCTCTCGTGGTTAGTCTCAGAAGTGGCACCGCCCGTGTGTCTGGGGTATTTGGAGTTTCCAGAGAAATAATGGAGGAGAGGGACTCACTATAGAGACTGTGAATTTTTTTTTTTTTTGTATTTTTAAAACTATTTTGCTATGTCTTCTGAGAAAAGGTAGAGCTAAAAAATGAAAGCAGAATCGGTCTTTTTTAACAATAAACACTTTGAGGAAACGAAAGTGCTGCCCCTCAACGTGGAGTGCGAGCGTAGCGTGTTCCTCTTGCGGGACAGCGGGATGCAGAGGCAGAGGAGCAAGTGCTGGGCTTGTCCGTGGACAGAGCTCAGCTCTGGAGGGAGACGCCGGGTGCTGGATGCTTACACACAGGCGCTCAGTCTCAGGGACTGGATAACCCTGGGGGGCTGGTGGTATTGAGGGGACCCTGAAAGAAGCAGAAGTAACGCTGTAGATCTGAGTGATCCTCTACCATCCTGGGGAAACAGAGCCGCAGGCTCGTGACCAGGGCTGGGCCGCCCCTTCTTCAGCGCTGGGTCCCAGGACATGACACAGGTACTTCAAGGAACCAGTAAAGAAGCTACTATATGATCCCCAAAGCTAAGAAATCTAGTTTCCTTTCTTGACACAGAAGATGCTGGGATATGGTAAATACTAACTTGCTGAACTGTGGGGAAAAAGGGAACTTGAGCCTCTTTCCAACTAAGTTGGCAGTGAGAGGCTGTGCCGTCCAGGGGCCTCAGGGCAAGGAGAGGTGGATGAGAGAGCTAAGGGGTCCCCCAGAGGCACCAGAGGGGAGCTGGTGAAATGCAGCTTAGGGCTTATGAGCAGCAGAGATAACCGCTCACACCGCACGGACGGGAGCTCACACAAAGCACAGACTGGCTTAGATTAGGCTATTTTCCTGCTCAAAAGAGGATAACTTATCTGCTCAACCAGAACTGCAAAGTTTCCCAGAATTCCCATTTAAATTTGCCAAAAAAAAAATAAAGAAGCATTCAGAAGATAACATGACATGATGAATTATTAAACAATGATAATAAAGTAAAAATTATTCTAAAAAGCTGATGAGCTATTGCAAATAATATTAAAATTACTAATACTTAAAATAACATTAAATAATACAAAAATTAAGAATACAAGAATAAAAATTAAGAATACAATAATACAATAATTTTATTAATTAATAAAATTAATAACACTACACACTTACTACTGGTCAGGTACTATTCTCTCCATCTTATATCTATCATCTCATTTAATCCTCACAAAAACCCTGTCTGGTACCATTATCTCCCTTATATTTATAGATGAAGAAATTGAGGCACACAGTGGTTAGGTAACTTGTCAGGCAGCAAAGTAAGTGATGGAATGAAAATTTATACTCAAGGCACTGGCCTCCAGAGTGCACCCTCCTTGCAACCACTGTGAACGCTCTTTTTCAGTCATACTCGATTGTTGGGGCACGTTATACAAAATTGGGTAGTCTGTTTGTTTTTCAAAGCACTATAGGAGCCTCAGTTTCTCTGTTTGGCAGCAGGTAGGGCCACTGTATTTCTAGAAGAGAGACCCAGAGAGGTCATATATTCATTCAAGGACACAGTGTGTGCAGGAGTCGGGTGCTCTGATTTCTTATTTTGGGTCTTTTTTTAAAACCACACCTGTGCTACCAAGATCCAGTTCATATAACCATCAGATAATGTAGAGTGCTTCACAGTACCTTCTATTAGGCATCTCTTGTTTCTGTAGTATGGCTTTTAGGATGTCTCTCTTTGCTTGATTGTTTTCTTTATCCACGTAGATCACTGTACAAAAAAAAAAAAAAATCCACAAAAGGAAGTCACTTAGGAATATGCGGCATTGGAACCTTCTGTATTTGTATAAATACCTGTTTTGAGAGACACAAGTTGTGCCACCTCACTTGTATGCCTGGGAAAAGAAAGCAGCTCCGGAAACCAGAATCACATCTGAACAGTCATGTGATGTCATGTCTGTCCCTGGCAGGTTTATGTGCGCACTGTCAGAAGAGATACAGGCAACATCTTAGACTGCCACATCGCTGTCACTGCCGATTAATGGCACTGGCAGTCATGACAGTTAAAGCCAGCAGTCTTTATTGCTTTGTATTTGAGGGATTTACTGCATTTTCTTTCACCCAAGAAGAGAGTGATAATGATAATGTATGGCAGAGAGCTTGTCCTTTCTGACAGCCTCAGTAATTTAATCCTTCTCTCCTGCCACAACATGCAATAAAAGAGGCATCTAGTGGATTGGACGGAGGAAATCCACAAGCTGACATTTGCTGGTGTTTGGGTGGGGAGCCTGGGAGAGAGCCGTGGAGAAAGGCACAGAATCTCTTTGGGGGGTGAAGTTTGTCTTTGGTTTTTAAAGGCACATGTTGGCACGCGGCAACGTGACCAGGCTTGACTGAGCTGAAACAGGAGATTAGGTAACTGATCTGAAGCCCGACCAGGAAGAAGACGGGAACACCTGAAACTCTAGGTAAGTGTCTGCACGTTGGGAAGCGACATCTCCCGGAGCGATCACTCCAGTTTTCGTCCTGATGATTTTTTTTTTTCTCAGCTCAGCAGCTTTTCAGCCTTCGTTTCTGCAGACATTTCTTTTCCAGATGCCATTGTGGTGGTAAAGGCTCCCCTGTGACCAGGTCTCAATGTGAGAGATTATCCCTGATCAAAAGTACACACAAGGGGGATGACACCATGATAATTCTGAAGCCAGGCCCTACTGGGAACAAACATTTCCTACTAAGTAAGAATGTCTCCCTGAACAGCTTTAGTTCAATCAACTAATGCTGTCATTAGCTGACAACTCGTTTGATCATTTGGGTCCACTGAGCAAATGTCAACTGAGGGCCAAAGGTGCTGGGCACAGAGTTAGACACACGGGGTGGGGGCGCAAGCGTCTGTGTGGAGGTGGCTTAGTGGTTTCAGAGACGTAAGAACCAGCTTACATAGGCCTGCCTGTTGCCACAGTAGTAAATGTGACAGATTACAGAGGTGACTGAGATTCGCAGGAGTCGAAGAAGAGTTGAGCGCTTTCTGTAAATACACGTTTCACTTATCAAGGCTAAAAAGATGCTTAATGACTTCAGAGTCCTACAGCTTTCAAGACATACTGGTCCCACTTTGTCTGGGATAATTTCCCCTCAAGTTCTACTGCGATGTCACTGACACGTAATATTATATTAGTTTTAGGTCTATAACATAACTCTTTGATATATATGTATTTACTGCAAAATGTTTACCATAATAAATGTAGCTAACATTAATCAGCTCAGAAACTTTTTACCCTTGTGATGAGCACTTTTAAGACCTCGCAACAACTTTCAAATATACAGCACAGCATTGTTAAGATTCGGGACCTACATGATGACCACAGTGATTAAAAAAAAAAAGACTGAATTCAAAGTTCAGCATCCAAATAGTCTTTCAATCACACTGAACCAGTTCTGATGAATCTCACCAGCTTGAATTTTTAAAAACTGGCCACTGAAGGCACTGCTAAGCACACAGCTGTGGCAGGAAGCCTGGGCTTCCCCTTCCATCTCTAGGGCTTTTTCACCTGTCCAAACTGAAACTCTGTACCTGATGAGTACTGGCTTCCTACTCTCCGTTCCTCCCGGCCTCGGACGCTGATTCCACCTTCTGTCTCTGTGAATTGAGATTTTAGGTGGCTCAGCTAAGTGGAGAATACTTGTCCTTTTGTGTCTGGCTTATTTCACTTACCATAATGCTTTCGAGATTCCCCTATGGCGTGAATCAGAATTTCACTCTTTAAGACTGGATAATATTCTCTGGACTGTGAGAGAGAATTCCAAAACTATATCAAGACAAGTAACCGCAGTCTCCTTTCACTCTATCTCCCCCCATTCTGTTCATCCATTTGTCTCTTGATGGCTATTTGGGTTGTTTCCACCTTTTGTCTATTATAAACAATGCCGCTAGGACAGTGTATAAACATCCCTTGGAGTCCCTGCTTTCAATTCTTTTGGGTCAATACAGACATCAAATTTCTGTGTTACACGGTGATTCTTTAACTTTTAAAAAAACCCAAACATCTTTACAATTTAAACTGGTTAAAATGAAAAAAAAAAAAAAAAAAAGGTGTAGTGGGGACAACTGTTTGCCTGGCCAGCTCCCACACCTAAGAACAGTGACAGCTACTATTCATTTGAGTGATACGTATAGACTAGTATACTAGTGATACATACACTTAATACTTCTCTCACTGCAGTCTCACGTGGTAAGAATCATTTTGCCCCACATTTTATCGATGTTAAACAGACCCAGAGAAGGTAAGGTTCAACAGTGTCTGCCTCTAGAGACCACCTTTTTAAACTCCACGCTGTAAGTTCTGCTCCCACACAAAGCCAAAACTTTTCCAGTGTTGAAGCTGCAGCCCTGTTGTTAGCACAGACTGGGGTGTGGAGAGGGAATTCCTAAACTGTACAAGACTAGTCGCCTCATTCTCCTTCCACTCTCTCCTAAGGGGACAGTGCTTAGATAGATCAGGTCCACATGCCTTAATCAACCCTCTTGGTTGAACACTTCTTAACAATTGCTTTTGGAAAAAAAATGCAAGCTACTTAAGAATAATCTTCGTTCTCCAAAGGTGCACCAAATTATAATTATAGCTCTCCAGCTGGCACAAACGGCCAGTGTCGGGCAACTTAACCTACTCACTGGTTCACAGTCTTTAGTGCGTATCAGGATCCCCAGCAGGCTTGTTACAGTGTCCTTGAGGCCTTGAGTTCCACTCGCCCAAATTCTGATAGAGCTGAAGCGGGGCCTGAGAACTTGCATTTCTAAATGTTCTCAGCTGCTGCTGCCGTGGCAGTGACCACTTGCCCGTGGACACATATCGTTAGCTCAGCATTCCTCTGCTCAATTTTTCAGTGGGGTTGGGAACTAGTAAGCACCTGTGTTGAAACCTGTGGGAAATATGGGCATTTTGGCCACGTCTAATTAGGTCAAGTTCCTAAAGACATTCATTTGGCAGTCTGAAATTAGATGGTTAAAGAAAACCCTCCAGTTTCAAAACTTCACATAAATCCTTTAAAAAGCAATTCTGATGACTGGGAAGTATCACAACTCTCTAAAAAGTTGAGCTATGTACCCGAAATGCTCGGAAATCACATTTGTTTAGGGCTTGCTAGATTTTTACAATCTGACTGATCGTATGTCTCCAAAAAAGAAACAAACTAGTAGTTCAAATACTTGAGTTGCTCCTGAGCTGTCTACCATTAGGAAAATACCCCTCACTCAGAGGCTGAAGAAACTCTCCTATTCTCTATGAATGTAATTTGGTAGAAGAAATGCAGATGATTTAATTATAAAGCATTGATAAACTTTGAATTCCAGATAACTTTTGTGTTGAATTATTATTATGCCCCTAATACTTATCTTTACCAAATTTCTCCTCTCATTAGTAACTAAATGGAAAGTTCTGTATCCTTTTCATCTTTTGAATTAACTTTGTTCGAAAAGATAAACTGTTCAGTCCTCAGAGACTAAGGGCCCCGATCTGCATACGTCTCATACACACTTGGGATGACTGCATTAATCTTTTTTCTTTCTATAGTCAATTCCCTAGAAGACACTATTTAGCCCCAGACAACGTTCTTTAGATTTACCATTAATCTTATTTCCCCCCAAACTATTTCTTGCTTTGTCAGCATTCCTTAAGCAAAATTTTCAAGTACAGTAAAATGCAAATGTCTTGTTCTTGCTGCCAATGTTTAGCAAGTGATTTAAACTTTGTCGGTTTTATCACCTACAGTTATTTTTTGTATAGGTGAAATTGGTAATAAAGACTGAATTAGTTTATGAATAATCCCAGGGATCACAGTCTAAATCTTTCATTTTATGTACGTAATTTAGGCCTCAGCATACAAATCCCTTCTGAATAGATTCAAGTCATAATAGAGGGTAAAAAAAATCATGGCGACGATCAGTTAGCCTCTTGGCTGGTATGTTGTTTGGATATAGTTTAGCATGTGCTAAGAGTCCTCTAAATTTTCTATCTGAATTAAAAAGTCAGTTTGGAAGTAAAATTAATTTCATTAACATTTAGTAAGATTTGGAAGATGTAAGACTCATTATACTGACCTTTATGTCAAGTAACAAGTGAATAGCAAATCATCGCAATCATTAGATGAGAGTTACTTAATAGCTAAAAATTCAAGGATGTTTCTCTGCTATAAAGGAGATGCAAATATAATAATTTTAGAATAAACATTTTTATCATGTTATACTTGATTGAAAAATAAAATGTAAGCTTTTAAAAGGTTAACATTATTCCTCAAATATGCTGACAAGCTAGGATTTTTTTCCTGTATCGTACATACAAAGAACATGATTTTGCTTCTAAATACAAAGAACATTCTCCCCTCTTTCCAAATAAATACCTTAAAATTCTTTTCAATTAACCTTGAAAATACTACATAGTCAAATCTCAATAGTTAGGGACAGAAGTTGAAGAAAGGTGATATAGAGATAATAGTTTATTTGTTGGCATCAAATGGTTAATTCAGTAGAAACGCAAACAATTGTTAAAATATCAGCTAGCATGCTACTTTGCAGTAAAAGGGGAAAAAAAGAAAACCCAAAGCAAAAACCAATGTCAACCAATCAATCAACAGTCCTAAAAAGATGTAGGTCACCATGTGAGAACGAACGGAACTCGGGACACTGGAGCATTACCACAGGTTTCATCCAAAGAAGAATCCGCATTGCTCCTTAAGCAAAACAGCTGGAAACAGCTGTTTTCCTACATGGCCAAATTTCTCAATATTTAACCAACTTCTAAAAAACAACTTTGTTGCCAATCCAACCAAACATTCTATTGCTGACCTTTACAGAGAATATAGGAGCCAGAAGAGTTTGTTTCTTGGGGAATCTTCATTAAAATAAGTTGACTAAATAGTTCTTTTATTACTACTAATATTTTGATATGGTTTACTTCTCTGGTACTTTGCAGTTAAAAAAGCTCTAGGAAGCTTGAGAAAATATTTCTGTAAATGTTTCTGTTACATCAAGTCAATGAAAGGAAGGAGGAATCGGATTCTTGTCTTGACCACACTAGTTATTTCACATGTGATTTCTCAACCTAACTGTTATTGCAGAATTACAGAATCTGAAGTGGAAGGAAGCTTACAGAGCAACTTATTCAATGGATAAGAAAACAAGGTATCTGGGGCCTCCCTGGTGGTGCAAGTGGTTGAGCGCAGTGCTGTGAAGCTGTCTGCAGCCTCTGCAGTGAGGGTTCGATCCTCAGCTGGCCAGGGAACAACCCACATTGCGCAGCAGACCTCTCCTGTCTCGCCTGCTGCTCCCCTCAGCAGTGTATTTCAGTCAGTCTGCCTGTTCTGTTCTCCGCTCTGTCTCTGGTAACTCCCTTCACCTTCCCGCGCCTCTAGCCTGTACCCCAGTTCTTGTATAAATAAATCTTTAGGAAAAAAAAAAAGGAAACAAGGCATTATGAGATTGAAACATCTTGGCCAAGTTCACAGAACTAGTAAGAGCGGTGGATACAAGTCTTTGGATTAGACCAAATACCGGGATACTCACGACGACAGTCTCAAGTAATGAACAGGTTTCTAATGATGCCCATTGCACAAAAAAAAACCCAAAAAAAAAACCAAACCAAAAAAACAAAAACTAACCTCAAGCATTTGTGATTCTGCTAATACAATAGCATGAGTACACACGTTAATAAAAATATAATTTATAAAGCTGATAAGAAAAAAAATTAGTTGTCCAATTAGCATGAGAGAGCCTGTTTTGCTCAAGATAATACAACACTCCATTTTTATGGTTTGATTTAATAAGGGAGTTTAGGAGAACTTAATAGGCAGGTTTAAGTTAGGCTCATGACAGTTAATATGCTATTTTTACTACTTTCTAACTATACTTTAAAACCATCCTAGTGTTGGTTGATCTAAGAATGTACAGGGTGCCTATTGGGTCCTTCCTGCTCCAATCAAGTTACATGTCAACTGATGGATAAATAAATCCCAAAAAGAGAAAGCCTGCCTGTTGCTATGAATGTATGTGGGTGTTAAATGATGACATGGTTTTTTAAGAATGTATGCCACTCAATTAAAATCCTGAGCATGGGACCCTGAGAGAGACACACACATACCATAGAAATAGCTACACGAGGGCAGTGATTTGAAAGGGAGGAAAACTCAGGCCACTGAATTGCTTGAGCCCCGTGGTCACAAAATTAGTACTCTTCTCCCCCTTGAAATATCACATTTTTCAATTAAATATAGTTTCTATTGATCCCAGGATACAGCAGAACATTGAGAAACAAAGTTTTCCCTCTGTCTTTGTTTTGTCTTTTATACTATTTCAATTTTAATTTCTTAGTTTTTCTTGATTATTCTGACAGGGCCTCCATGATTTTATGTGAACACGAGAGGATTATACTTTTCCTTGTTCCTTTATAGATAAAGAGACAGAAATGAAAGTGTGTGTTAGAAGTGACTGTGCATACCATTGCTGTAGTTATAGTAGACCCACTGCCCGCTCTTGGGCTTGGGCAGCGACACAGGCGTCTCCTCAGCGGGAAGACTGTAGAACCGGCACTCCACAAACAGCCGCTGTATAGTGCTGTCCTTGGTCACCCTGGAGTTGTTAAGGCTTAGAGCGATGATCTCAATCCTTATTTTTTCAGATGGCTGTTTCAAGAGCAAAAATGGAAAACAACAGAGAAACAAATACATAAAAAAATCCTTTCCTCTTTTCCACTATCAATTTTAAATAAAACATGAAGGCCAGTGGGTTTCTTTTTTGGAACGCATTGTACACTACCGTGTAGTTACATATGATAGATTATTCACCACAGAGAGAGAGAGAGAGAGAATGAGATTCTAAAGCCCCAGGGTTTGAAGTTAACAGAGTCATGGCAATAGTCTCCTGATTTACATTTGAGGCTATAAATACCCCACGAACGAGTAGTCTATCAGGAGTGAAGATTATGAGATCTTCATCTAAGATTGCTTTCAGAATGACAAGTATCAGTTGGCCTTGTTTCAAACAATCTAATGAAGTACATGTTTATCACTGCTTTTATTTAATCTGCAGTACCTGAGAAAGTTTCAGTTATTCAGAGATCAAAGCCTGTTGAACGTAGTTATTATGCTAATATATGTAGTTATAGGAATCTTTATTAACAAGAGCAGAAATCACAGTTCATTCTCTTATTATATCTTGCCATAACATTTCATTCAATAAGTAGTGTTTTCAAAGAGAACCAAAACTTTACCTAACTTAACATATTCTTGCAATTTATTTATCTAATTTTGGTAGAATTAGGAACTAAAATATATATTTGTGTAATTTTCACCTCAATCCTTACTTAATAGATTTTGGTGTGACAGACATTATTATGGGCGTCACAGATGTCTCTCTGAGTAGTGGTTTAGTAGAAATTAAAATAGACCATGACTGAAAAATTAAATCATAACCAAGACAGTTGCTTAAATGTTTGTTTTTATAATTTTTAAATTTGTTTTTTATTCCCCTTTAGTAAATCCCTCCTGATGAAATTCAGAGGGATACGACTGTAAATTATACAACTTTAAATAATAATGGACACAAGACCTGCTTATATTACCAACTTTTAGGAATTCATTGTTAAATATAAATCAGTGTGCAAATGCACCATAGTGACTACTTAGATATTTCAAAGCATATAATTAATCAAATTGAAAAGCATAAGTATCCTATTGTTAAAAATACCCCATAAAGAACAATTTTCACTGCTGTCAACCCCCCTCAATATTTGATGAAGTAATTTTACCCTCTTCTTTCAAAAGACATTTTCTTTTATTATGTATTCTAAGACACTTTAACTAAAACCCCAGATCTGAATATTTCAATAAGGTTATTTTATTATTCAGTAGATTCATGGAAATTTTACTAGGATGACAGAGAAAATTCCACACCATTCTGTCTCCACTAATACAGGTACAAGGCTGCAGCTGGCAATATTACTAGGATTAGCATAGTATGATGAAATATTTAAAGGAAAATTTTTTCTAAAACCTAATAAATCAAATGACTGCCAAATGTCATTAAAGTGATGGTCTTTGACTTGAATATGCTTTTCATATTCAAATTTTGAAAAGAAAGAGATGAAAGCCTGGAAAGGTTACTCGGTTTCAACTAATAACCTCAAGCCCTCTCTGTTCACGTGCATAAAAAATGAAGTTGGCTCTATTGTCTAATCTTACTTCAGAAAAGCCCTTCTCTGCTTGCTGAAGACTAACATGGTAAAGAAAATATTTTAAGTGATATTTTTTTTCCCCTGGAAATATATTGTGGTTGTCAAAATATCACACATAAACATTTTATTTAATTCTGGTTCAAATGCAGTACAATGCATAAGTAAGTATTTTACATAACTTGAAATGTGACAAACTTAGAAACTGCTAGAACAACATCTTCTCAGACATTCCTGTTTCTGCATAAAAGAATGAAAAGAAAATACAGAAAGGTGAAAGAGGTACACATGGTTATTCTAGAGGTGAAGAGAGGAAATTTTAATTGTTTAGCACAGAACCCAATGAAAAGACAGATCAAATTTTAAATAGCAGGGGAAACCAGATTTCTTTAAGTGGCTATTTTATTAGTATATTAACTGTACAATCCCCATATGAAAACCTGTATTGTCGTAAGAATAAAGTTAGGTTGTCAAGTAAGATTATATACGAAAATATAATTCTAAATGAAAGTAGATACTTGGGTCACAGTCAAACACACACTGAAACCAAACAAACCGAAAGAAAATATCATCCAAAGAATTAAAAAGCTCTAAAAGTCTTTTTACGATGTGTATCTACCTTCTTTTTGGTTCGGTTTTCTTTTTTAATACCTCCAGTCTCATTACCTTGATCATATTTTTAATTCTCTGACTAATGCTATTAACAGAAGTCTTTAGTTATAATTTTCTGTTCATTCAATGCTATATGAGTCCATTTAAAATAAATCCTAAAGGGATGAAGTCCTGATAGCATATAGCTCGGGAAGCAAACTATAAATCATTTTTGAACATTAAAAATTTTGGCTAATGAAGTACATCAACTGCCTAACAGCCAACTCTGACTTAGTGTCCAAAATGAACTCATAACCCTCCTCACCGGGATCTCATTTATCTTGGTATTTCCTACCTCACATGGTGACATAGCTCTCCCTCCATGGGGTCACCTACAACCAGGAGACTTTGAGCCCATCCCCCATCCTGATTTTTAACACCCACCATATTCTATATATCACCGATTGTTCTTCATTTTACTTCTTAAAAATCTCAGTGACTCACTGAATTATTGAAAGCGTGAATATTCTGACACTGCGTCAGCCACTGGGGATGTAAAGACAAAAAAAAAGATGTGGTGTCTTTCCTCCTTTTTAACTGCAGAGAAACTTCTTTAGGCTTACATCTGATGGGAGGGAGGGAAGAACACAATAGTACTGGAAAGCAGAAGTTTGACAGAACAAGGAGGGAGAAAACAGTAGAAATCACACAAGAGAACTGGTTGGCAGGACTGTAAACAAATGGAAGGAGACTAACAGGCCAGGGATGCGGCGATGATTATGTTCCCACATCACTAGTGTGAAAGGCATTATATACTCAAACAAATGTGTGGACCTGTTCTCAGGACTAGAAGAAAGTGAGGCACTCTTATCCTTAATCTCTTGTCTGCAATCTCAACCATACACACACCCACCCACCCACCCACCATCCACTCTTAAGGTAACACCGGATTATTACATGGTATATGATGCAGAGGGATAGCATCACCCCCCTCAGGTGTGTTACCACGCCACATGCCCCACTGAGGCACAGACTCCTCCTCGATAGCACAATGTGCCTCCTCCCCGCTCAACTTTGTTTATGATAGAAACATCATAATAAAAATGAAAAAAAAAACTGCAACTAGGAGAATTGAAAGGGACAAGAAAATACTGACTAAAATGACTGTGACTGAAGCAAAGGCTTTTCAGATTCAGGCACGATGATGTCTGTTCAGAATCAGTAGAACAACAGGACAGGTGACGCCTCTGCAGGGCGTCAGTTCCCTCAGGTACAGCAGGCCCCTGAGGTACAGTAAGCGGGCCAGATGGGCCAGGATTTGAGTTGTTTCGCTTCTTTTTTAGGTGTGTGAACCTTTGTTATAATGTTGCCTTTCAGTGCCTTTTTTTGGTCATGCTCACCAACTGCCCTACAAAGGTCCCCAGTTACCAAGATGTCAACGTCAGCATGGAAAAAGAGCGTCTGAAAAATTTGATTGTGGTGAACAGAAAGAATAGAAGTCACTCAGATAGGAACTGCGTGTAACTTACGTTTAGTTTGCTGCATAGATGGACACTATGTGTTATGTGATTGAACGATCTAGAAGTGTGATGACAGCTTGTATTACTCAGAGGGAAAAAAAAGGTATAGTTCTCACGATTTTGGCTCAGTTCCACTATTGCTTCCTGATGCCAATTCCCATTCAGGCACATTTCCCTGTAGTATTTACTCGGGCTTGTAACCAATATGCTAAAGTTGTTCATGTTGCACTTCCGAGCATCGCGCCGAGTCCTCCTCTGGGCTCAGCCACCGGGGCCGCCGTGGAGCTGGACTGAGGCTTCCATGGGCCAATCCAGCCTGCAGCCCCAGTGTCGCTCAGCTGAGAACGGCCTACGGTAGAGGTTTTGCAACTTGATCCAGTGAATTAAGTTTAAATCCAACTATGGTGAGGTTACATGTGAGTTTTATTTCACTGTGAATTTCTACAATGAATTAGATTTCTTCAACTTTTTAAATGATGAAATATCTCAAAACATGAAAAAGGTATAGAAAATAATGTGGCATATTCATGTACACCACATCTTAAACAGATGTTACCATTTTGCTGTATCTGATTCAAATCTTTTTGCTGTTATTATTATTATTATTATTATTATTTTGGTTAAAGGAGTAAAATATTCCAGACACAGATAAAGGCCCCACCTCCTAACTTCCTCCACTTCCTCACATCCCGACCCTCATGCGCATCATTCTCACACCCGCCTTTATAGTCACACACACGCGTACTCAGACAACAAGCTGTCCTCTTTTCAGATCCTCTGTTAGCGTATCATCTATTAACCATTCTCCAATTTGTGCTTTCTCACTCAACACTACATTATTGGGAGTCAGTCATCTTAATAATTAAAATCTAATTCATTCAGGGCCTCCTCTGGTGGCTCAGCGGTTGAGCGCTGGGCTGCAAAGCTGTCCGCAGCCTCAGCAGCACCGGTTTGATCCCCGGCTACCGGGCAAGGGTCCCACATGGTGCGCAGACCTCTCCTGCCGTGCCCGCTGCTCCCCTCAGCAGTGTACTTTGTCAGTCTGCCTGTTCTGCTCCCCGCTCTGGCTCTGGTGAATTCTCCCACCCTCCCGCGCTTCTGACTGTACCCAGTGCTTGTATGAATAAATAAATAAATCTTTAAAAAAAAAGTAATTCATTCATATTGCATTATTATTTATACTGCATATATGACTGATAGTACAGTTATTCACTTTCCTACTCATGAATGATGACGTTGCTGGTCATTTTTTGTGATTACAAGCAAAGTTTCACTGAATAGCCTTCTGTTTTCTTGTATATGTCTTAAAAGATTTGTATATGTTTTAAGAGAACTGCTAGAA